TCATAATTCATCTTGATCCTACAGACTTTGAATTGGTAGTCAGTCTTTTCCATTGGCTGATAGCCGAGGATGTTTTCCCCATATGTCTCAATGCATATAGCGCACTGTTATTAATTTGCATGTCATACAAAACATAACTTAATTTTGCTTTAAGCATTCATGTCATACAAAACATAACCCAATTTTGCTTTGAGCATTAAAGAATTATTATCACTGGCTATGCACCATTGGATGATATAGGAACTTAATATAATTAAAAACTCAATAATTATTGAAGGAGGGAAGGGAGGGGAGTTTATAGGTGTTAAAGAATGGTTTGTTTCTAAATTATCTGTCATATGTACATTGTGTATTCGATTCTATTTTTTTCACTCAAATAAATGTGTTTGAGTCAAATCGCATTACTATTAAATGAATATTTAAAGATGTCGCTTGATTCATAAATTAAACTTTTATTTAAGAATATAACATTTAAGAATATAACATTTAAAAAAACGTTCAAAACTGGAAAAATTAAAATTAAGTCAACTTATAATTTTTGTAGAAAGTATCATGCAGACCCATCTGTGGATAGCTTTGAAAACGAGGTTAAATAAATTATAATAAAATAAATTTTAATAAAATAAATTTTTTCATTTTAAAAAATCTTTTTCCATATATTTTTAATTCAAAAAGAAAATAATTAAGAACCTAGATGCGCGAATTATGAGGAGTAAATCAAAAAATATCGATGTTAATAACTGTTATATTTTATCCTACAGTACCGCCGAGTGTAAAAAAGGTTTTCATCTTAACGAATTTGATCATGATAGATAATCGAGTAAATTTAAAGTTAAATAATATGTCAAATTTAATGTTCATAAAAATTAATGGATCATCAATATCGGAGTAGATTCCTGATCCATATCAAAATATTTAAATAAAAAGAAATTTTTTCAATTCATATTTATATATTTTTTAATTTACATGATAATAGAGATCAAGCCCGGTCCGCGAGTCGGGCCGGGAAATTTTTTAAAAAAACTTAAACAGGTCAAAGGGAAATATTAAAAAATCAAAACGGGCTGGACCTGGCAAAAAATTTAGCATTTGGAACTGGAAATTTGCCTAAAAATTTTAGGGCCGGGTCGACAATTTTTACATAAAATAAGATATCCGACAGTACCTCGCTAATATTAAAGGTCAACCGTTCCGTCCTATCAGTCTTAGACCATTATCCTGACTGGACCGATGGGCAGACAAATTTTTTGAGGACCCCATCCGGACCGGTCTTTTTATTTTTACGGTATTAATATTTAAGTTTGCTTCATTATTCAATTAATATTATTTTTTTTACTCAATTTTTTTGTATAATTTATTTTATGTTATTTTTCTAGAGTAGTTATTTTAGTTTTTATGAAAATTTTAGTTCATTTTTATTATTTAATAAGAAACCATAAGTTTTTCAGAGAAGCATTTTACATAAAGTCCAATTATATAAGAATAAAATTAGGTAAAAACAAAAATATTTAAAAAACCAAAAAAATAAAAAAACCGGTCTTTTTTGTAAAATTCTAATAGACACCAGCCCGGGTATTAAGTTTTGATCTATTTTTTTTTAAGATAATTTGGCTTAAAATATATAGGAAAAAAATAAATATGCTTATTTCTTTGTATTTGGCTATCTAACAAAAAAAATTAAATCTATAAATTAAATAGTAGAGTAAATTCACACAAAATAAAACAACTTATTTATGATATGATACAATAAAATACAGATATAAATACAATTGTTTTATAAAAAGGTTGTTGTAGAAATAGATAGATATAGGGGAGAGATATTAGAGCCATAATTGATGTTTAGAAAAAATTAGATATTGTTATGGATATTTGAAATTTGATAGACGGAAAATTCGTACGCCTAAAATTCAATGAGCAGGGAGATTTTTAGTAAAGCCTATACTAGCCGCTGGCATCACTTTTAGTAAATTCACGGACCGGGTCGGAAAAATATTAAAATTATAATAGATATGCCGAGAAAATTTTTAAAAAACCTTAAGAGGCCTGTTTTGGCAAAATAAATTTTGGCCGGGTCGGAAATTGATACAAAAATTCTAGACTGAAGAAGACCGTGTCAAGCTTTGCAGACCTCTAATCAATAGTATTAAATTTAGGATATTATTTTTAAAATATAATATAAATATACAATTTTTTTATATTCACAATAAAAAAATAACAATTTTAATATTTTTTGATATTATATTAAAAATTTATAGTTTCCTTCCCCGCAATCAGTGGCGTAGAGAAGTTTTATATTCAAAACGTAATTATAATAAATTCTTAGTCATAATATTTATTTATTATACTATTTTTAATAAAAATATTGCATTTGCACTAAGAATTAATGATCTGCATTGGGCCTAATTTTTCAAGCCCGGCTCTGCCCGAAATTATTGAAAAAGTTTTGCCGGCCCGAATCCAAAATTTTTTTTTAAAAGTTTTGTCGGCCTGGCCCGAATTTATCTAAATATAGAAATTCATTTTTATAATCTCAAAATAAAAGATATATGTTATATGGCGTCTAGTTTTTATAAATATAATCAAATATTTTTATTTTACATAAAAAAATTAACATAAAATTGATATATTTTAAAAAATTTCCAAGGCCCAAACCAACCCAGCCCGAATTTTTTTAAGATCCCGATTTTTCTACTTTTGCGGATTTCTAATAAGAATTATTTATGTTTTATTAATATACTCATTTTTATTAATTATATTTTAATTAGATTTTTTTAAATACCGCACAAGAATTACTCATATTTTATTGTAATTCTTTTTTTTAAATATAGTTATTTAGAATAAATTTTTAATATAATCTGTATAAAATTTATACATTTTGAAATTTATTTTATTGTATAAATAATAAATAAAATCTACAATGAAATTCTCTGTAAAATTTTGTTATATGCAAAAATCTAATTAAAATAATTATTTTTAAGATAGAATAAGATATGATAAGTGATCATAAAAAATGGGAGGTTTGGGGGGGGGCGATTTTATTCTTCTTTCTACACCGAATGTATTGAATTAATTTACAATTGACTAAACATTGATAAATTATCTCAGAATATTGCTTTCAGTCGCGTATTAATCATAAATTTGACCTTGTTACTAATATTTTATCATTTATGCTGGCTACTATAGTGGTTAGACACCAATAAAGCACAAAATTGACAAATTTTTAAATATCTTTATATAAATGGTGAATTCCATGAAAATTACCAAAGAATATAAGATTTTTTAATCGACGTACTCATTTTCTTCAGATTTCTACTAGTTTGTATTTTAGCTACTAACTGCTAATAGCTGCTATATGGGCATCTGAAGGTAGAAAATGGGTCATTTTTTTTATAAAATGCACTCTTTTTTAGATATATTTCTTTATAAATAAGCTAAATTTCTTTATATAGCGTAATAATAGAGGGACTGATGTTAAATAATGTTTATAAATTTGAAATGTCAAAAACCAGATAAAGAAAACCGAAAATGATCATAAAATCAAATCTGCATCCTATTTTCTTTCAATTTATTTTTTTATAGCTATAGTATTAATAAATAAATAGGCATATCTTCAAGTTGGGCCGAACATAGTTATAGGAGAAAGCATTTTAATTGTATTAAGTCAATTGTAAAAATTCTAAATAAATATTTAATATTAATTAATAATTTTAATATACAGAAGTTTCTGACTTCGAAAAGTTTGTATTATTTATTAAAAAATAAAATGAGCTTTAGAATGGTGGTTTCCATTGGCAATTTTCTCTCTATAAATCAGAAGCTTTACTAGCCTTTTTTAAATTTATTTAATGTCTTTTCTAATATAGCAAATGTCGTACTGATGATGATAGTATGGCGTTGCATTACTTCATTGTACTATTCTGGTCGGCAAACCTGACATGCGAAATGCAATCAAATTATATCTCTTGCGCTAGATAAAGCGGGGTTTTCCATTTCATAATGACCCTCTAACATCCGACAATAGGCAAAATCAAACAAATTCTGTGGTTACAAGGAAAATGGAATTTCTCATGCCTAGGACTAAGTCCCCATCCAACATCAACAACGCCGCTATGACTAGTGAGCAAAATTTAAAAATCACCAAATACACCTCTGATTCGTCAAATTATTTTGTACCAATAATCTGCTCCATAACAACGTCTGGAGATTTGACGAAAAATCTTTTTAAAGACGTCGGCCGCCATAAAATAAAATCGGGGAGCCTTGTGAAGACTCTTATTTAAGACAAATGATAGCAATAATCATCCTTAAGGCAAATTATGCTGATTAAATTGATTCAATTGACCCAGATGATGTTCTTCCTCATATAAACATATTTCTTGTTTTCTTTTTTTATATTTTCTCTGATAATAAATTATTTTTTTTTAGTAAATGCAATAATATTTTTTAATTTGTTATATAAATTTTTTGAAGTACGAATTATTGTATTAAACTCTTTTGCTAGCAAATTAGCTATATATAAATAAATAGAATTCTAAAATAAAAATTTAATAATTTTTTTTATTATTTTTAGATCAAAAATTTTACACGACCTTTTAATTTTATCCCAAAAGTCTACCAATAGATCCCTAGGCACTAGGCTCAATATATCATTTTTTTAAAATCTTAGTCAAAATAAATTCTAAAATTAATGGAGATCATGAATTCTCTTTTAAAATGTTACAAGCTAGAATATTTGACACGATGATAGATAGTTGACAGGTTTTCAATCTTCTGATTTTTGCAGTATTACAAAAAATTTGTGATTGTTTTATGAGGCATTTAATATTATTTAATGAATGTATTGTAATAAAAAGATAATGAAATGTTATTTTTATATGGACTTCTTATATTGGGTGGGTATTTAGTTTTTTTTATTAATAAAAGTTTATCTTATATTTAGAATTTCTACATTTTGCTGCAAAGGTGCTAAGTAATAATATTCTAAGTTATTCTACCTACTACGAGAGGTTAAATTATGAAAAACTGCCTATTTCTTCAAGAATTAAAAGAGATATTAATGGAAATTCATATTTTTCACACTTGGATGGCTATAATTCTCAATATCACAAATTAAAATTTGAGGCATTTGGAAAGTATTATAAATTATCTTAAATATTTTAACATATTAAAAGAATGAATTGATTTTTTATTATAAATTAACAAATTTTTTAAGTTTTTGCCATAAATTCACTAACATTTTTGAATTATTTTCAGTATCGTGAATCAGTTATGAACACTAGTTTTTTTAAATATAATTTATAGAATGTTTAATTATACATAGATAGGGTCATCCATGTGATTTACCTTATTTAGACATTGCTAGAGGGTAAAAAAAAATAGTGGAAAAATTGATAAAAATATATTTTATAGTTATATTTGTATATGGTGAAGAATAGAATGTCATGATAAACTTATGGTTAGTGAAATATCCTTTATTATGTTTTTTATAAAAAAATTTAAGAGTTAAGACTCATTTATAGTAAGCATTTATCACTCAAGCAATGAGACACATTACTGTATTTTTTTCGAAACCAAACAAATAGTAAGTAAAATTTATAATCTATAGCACTTCGAAGTGTGTGAATTGCAAAATTTAAAGCCTTATTTAGTTGGAATATGATTAATGCCTGGCCTAGCCCATTTTTAATTTTTTTTACTAGGCTCAGTTTTTAAATCTTTTTTTAAATACAAGGCCTAAACAAAAATATGTTGAACACCAAAATAAACAACTATTTATAATCTTGGTAAATGGATTAAATTATAACACTATACTTTATCGATTATCATTTCTATGAAGCATCAGAATTCATAAAATAGAAAGAAAAAAATTGCCCACCCCATGCTGTTTTTTTTTGCCCAGCCATAAAATAAATAATTTTGGGTCAGACATTCTAGATCTCTAATAGCAAGGAAAATCATTTTGCCTAATTAAGCAGACAATATAAATTTTACCTATTATTTACTTGCTTTTGAAAATACCCGATTGTCCCATCACACCGATATACACTTACTATATAGAATAGGTCTTATATTAAAAATTTTATTTATTTTGTCAATTCTTATTATAATTTATTTTTTTGTCCATATTTTTTGACAAAGCAGGATTGATTGAACATATATTAACTCTCAAACATAACAAGTAGGCATTCACAGCCAAAGTTATAATAATAATATAAAGACATAAAACATTTAAATACATGCCTCATTGTCCTTATTTGAACAAAATTGTAAGCACTACTATGTTCTATTAAAATTTTAAAAAGGGTTTTGGACTAACCCAGCCTGTAAAATAATTTGTACAGGTTGTTTGGCCAGTAAAAAATTTTTATGATACAAGAATTCATAAATTAGCCTAAATATAAGAAACAAACTCAGACTCAGACCAAAATATTTGACAAAATTTGTATTGTATAAATCCTGGGTTGGGTTTCATCAACCTCAAATTTGGCCTAATTCTACTTTATGTTTTTTGGGGCATTGAATAGATGGAATGACCTGTTTAAATTTAGCTGAAAGTGGGAACTTATCCCATATTAGTTTATTTTCCCATTTTCAAGTCCTAATCCTAGTTTTGTAAAGCCCAGCTTAGATTTTTAAATTGATTATTAAATTAAAATATTTTAAAAATAGAATGTATACATTTTATTTGTGATATTATAATTCTGTCATAAAAATTGATAATTATTTATACTTTGACCCTTGATATCTCCAAAAATATAAGAACAACAGGGGTGCTAAAATTTGGAAACTGCTTTAGTTACATAAATTTATATAAAATAATACTTAAACATAATTTTTAAATTATAAAATGACCTGATTAGTAGAAATAAAATCAAATTTTAATGATGTCAAGCTTTATAGTAGAACTCTTTTATTCATGGGATTCTATGCCCCTTCGGAATCATGGATGTTTTATCATTTACGGGTTCGGAATCAATCAAAACCTAACATTGTATAAATATGGTTACAATATTAAATATACATATGGGGCTTTAATACATACAGTCTTTTAGGGCGACCATATAACCCCTATATTTTTAAAACTGGGTTATGCAGCCACGTTCATAATCCTATCACGTGGTATGTTTATAAAAAACGAAGGAATTTTTTTCACCAGAATTGGCATACTAGGATTTACACAAAAAAAACAACAGCATGAAATTGAACCCAACAATCGATAAAATTTATTTATTTTTCAAAAAAACCGTGCATTTTTTTTGTTGGGGAAAACAAATGTTAATAAAATATTTTATCTGTTAGACATTGCGATACCTATTTTGTCAAACAAAATATATTAATACCGAATTATGAATAAATATTATTTTATACAACAATTATTAAAAATAATTATTATACGAAGGCTAAACGAATGCACATTTCCATAGACTCATTATTTTGTTTAAATTTAATTAACTTTTTTTAAAAAAAATTCCTTGATCTTCATTTGAATTGAAAAAAAAAGAGTTATGATTAATTTTTTTTTGTCATATTTTGAAATAATTTATTCAAAGTCGACATTATACAACAAGTTTGATTTTCCCCAATTCCCTTCCTTGACGAAAAAGAAATTCGCATATCTAACCTTACTTAAAATTCATTACGTATCATAAGGGAATTAAAGAAAGGGAGAAAAAGTAGAAAATAAACATATCATCTTATAAGATGGAGAAGAAGAAATAACTCAAATTGTTAGGTAGGGCATAGCTCATCTATATGTTAAAACTGTTAGGTGTCACTCAAATTTTGATATTTATTAAGTAGGCTAAAATAATTATAAATTTTAAAAAAAATATAAAGCCCCCCCCCCCCCCCAAAAAAAATAATAATACCCGGGCCAGGCCATTTATTTTAAAACAAATTATTTTAAATCATCGTTATTAGCTATAAAAATTAAAAATAAATGGAATATATTTTAATAAAATCCGGGGCCTGTCGGGGTGGGGCCGTGCAAATGGTATCTGCAGGTTTTTAATAAATGTAAAAAATTCAAAAATAAAATAAATAATATATTTCATATTATTACTATAAAATTTAGTGCTGTAAACGTTACTTCAAAAAAGAAATGCGTTACTCGTTACGTCTGAAAAAAGTTGCAAAAATAAGACATCTTTTATAATAATATATTTTATATATAATTTACAAATAAAATAATACAAAAATAATATTATAAGATGAGATATTTTTTTTTAATAATATTTTATTTATTTTTAACAATTAATTTTTAAAATTATGATCAGATAAACAAGAGTGCTTAGTGCTAAACACAGCTTTCGCTATGCTAAACACACGTTCAACTGGCGCAGAAGATGGGAGGGTTGTATTATATTGGACAAATAAAATTTTAAATTGGAAGAATTTATTATAAATTAAAGAATAATCTTTATTTTGAAAAAAGAAAGTTCATCGTAAAATAAATCTTCAGTAGATCCTCATCCAATTTTTTTTTATCTTTATTAGAAAATAATCTGTACATGTGTTGTTTTTTAAAGGAATTATGTCTGCCTTTTCTTTGTCAAGATCTTTTCTAAAACAGGAAATAAGTTCAAGCTTCCTTCCTTCTCTGATATCTAATTTTACGAGGGCCTATCTGATTTAAATAGTGCTGAATTATTGCTGATAATATATATATTCAATTGAAATAAATTATCAAAATATAAATTGTGAACAATACTTCAACTTTATCATTATCTTGGAGAATTAATAATTGACTCTCAAAATAAAATTATTTAAAGCCATTTTTAGATATTGTTATCGTGGGAGTTAGGTTTCCCAAATGCATATTTTCTTCTCGCTCTAAAATCGAAAGAACTTACGAATTCCATAACTCTATTAATTTTATGGAGTTATGGAAAGAGTTTCATCATGTTATAACCGGTTTAAATAGATATCCCATTTTTCCCTTAAAAATAGCTACACAGTTAGGAGGATGCCCATGTTTATTTCACAATTGAGGTTAAAATATTTGAGTTGGGACACAATTTACACTTACAAAGTGTAAACTTTGTACCCTTAGTTTTCTTCATTGGTGTCAAAAAGTTTCATATTAAAGCCAAAGCAGGCTTTACTCATCTTCAGCTGAATTAAATATACAATTGACATAATATTCTTTATAAAATAAATTATAATATTAATAAGTATTTATATTTAATTACATATGAAAATTTAGCCACTAAAATTTAAAATAAAAATGAAGGAATTTGGTGGTTGATGTGAATTAAAAACTCTGCTTAAATTATTTATAAAATATAAAACATAAATTACTAATTTAATTCAAGAATCTAATGTTTATCTTAGAAAACGAGGCATTTAGTTATAATTTTATTTGGGGAATTTTTTTTGCCTAAGCCCTTTCTTGTCTATTTACTCAAATTTTTGTAAACAATATAAACACGTGAGTATCTTAGCAGGAATTCGCCTATTTTATTTGCACATCAATAAAAAAAAGCATTATTTTTACAAAATGTATGTGCGCGCGAAAACAAGGGCTAATATATAATATTACAACTTTTAATCGTTGATTTTACTTCTTTATGATTCAACCTTTTGCACCCAGATTTCGATTCTATAAAATATACAATTTTTTTTCATATATATATTTATTCTACGTCTACATCTATCGTTAAATATTAGTATGACTCATCGTTTGTTTGAAGTCGGCAATCTTGAAATATATACCACCCCCATCCCCCAGCTGCTTATGTATTAGACTAAACTGTAATATTATTAGATTATAATTTTTCCTTATATAACCTTGGCTGATAGTATATTATGATACCTTTAAAAATATAGATGAATTTATTTTATAGTTTAATTTTTTTTTCGAAATTTTTAATCGGCATAAAAAAAATTTCAGCCTGAGTTACCGCAAAGTTTTATATTTGTGCCAATAAATTATTTTCAAGTGAAAAATATTATTTTTCAATTTATGAGTATCTTCATTTAAAATTTTATTATAATATTATCTATTACCAGAAACTTCGAGTTATTACTCGAAGCGAGCTATCAAGAAATGGCCCCCAATTTACAAATAATCACAGTTTCCGGTTTCGGTAACGAAACATTACACAACTCGGTAGAATACGTTCGTTGGTTATATACCGGGATCGTCAAAGGTAAAAAAAGGCGAAATATTACTTATAATAATAAAAATTAGCTGAGTGAATAATTATAGTTTTTGTCGCTAGGGCGCGGTTCTTATTCTCGAAGTCTTCGAATCGGGGGTAGGGGATGAGAAGCCACGATGATGAATGCGAGATTTTTATGTTTTAACACTTTTTAAAAAAACTCGCTATACTAAGTAGATACAAATTTATCACGTATTTAATTCATAATTGGAACTTTTGAAATAAAATTTAAAAAACGGGTGTTTATACACATTCGTTAAATGAAACTGATTTAGAAAATTGCATTGTAATTGGTAAATAAGTGCACACCTCTTTTCGTTAAATTTACTCATGTAAAATACCTTGCATTTTAACATCGGCCTACTAAATAGTTAATTCCTATCGTTTATATTCACTTTAAATATTTTTAGAATTAATTTTAGAGTGAAATGCGTCACAAAATAGTTTTAGTTTTGTAAACGAGGGGAGGAGGAAGAGAAATAACTTAAATCTAACTTATATTGAAATAATGATAATTTGTAGGAGACCCCTATTCTCACGTAGAGGGAAACTTATTGGACGGTTATTTCGAAGGCAGAATTATTACCTCCCCCATTGCGATTGGTTCAGGTCATCATATTCATGCTCCATCTTATTTCGACAATTCGATGCATAACGCTAACAATCGAACGAAGCCTATCACCTCCATGTACGTTCAACGAATTTATCCAGGCAATGAATTGAACGATTTTCATTCCGTCATTTATTCTGAAAATCATATGAAAGATCATTTTGCCCTCCATAAAACGACGCCCAACTCCATGACAGATGAGTCAATCACACAAAAATCAATATATCATAATAATAGTGGTTTAAAGATAGAGATGGAAGGAGACGAGTAAATTTTTATTATATATTATGATATCATTTTTAGAATATAAAGTTAATCCACCAGGGATTCGTGGCTCATTCATAATTGACTAATTTTAGTTTTAATTATTTTTGAAGATAATGAACCTAAAAGAAAAACAAAATAAATTTTTAAAATTTAAAATAATTGACTGGCCTTAATTATAAAAGATACCAAAAAAAAATTAAGTCTAATTTTAATACTTAAAAAATTTCAATGACAGTATAAATTAAATTAATTTAGATTATTGATATGAAAAATATATATAAAAACTCATTCATTTAAATCAATATATACTTCTCTATTTTTCTTATATTTTTAATTTGCTGGTTCAACATTGAATCCCAGTGATAGGAATATATTTTTCCCAAAAATGAATGTGTTTAAGGTTAAATTAGTATTTTATTAATAAATAGTAAAATCATATTTGATTGAATTATCATTTAGTTGTTTTTTTCTGGACTAGTAGCTATAGTATATAAGCGAATACCTCATGTGGACTAGTAGGGTGAGGTTATATACGAGAAATATATATAAAATAAAAATTGTTGCTTAAAAACTTATAAGACTAATCTTATTTAATATTCAAATTGAACAATTGTTTATTTCATTTATTTTTATAGGATGTGATCCTTGGTATTTTTACATATATTTTAAACTCGTGAGATATGAGAGAAAAAAGCAATAGCTTCAATAAGAGAATCTGTAGTTTTACCTCTTTTCAGTCCCAGACATGAATTCTTAAAAAAATTTGATAAATTCGAAATAATTTTGGCTCTATTTATAAATGGTTTCAAAGAAATATGCCATCACCCGATTTTCAACTGGTTTATCGATATAATATAAATTTACCGTGTTATTTTATTTTAGAAGCCGTGCTCGCAAATCTATTTGCTTGTTCATTTAAAAAAAATAAAGGTTCAGGGGTTAGGTAATTGAGAACTAATATATAAACTAACCTGAATAGTTGGCGCCGTCAAATTGCAAAATACATAAATATTTAAAAATGGCAACAGATATTATTCAATCAAAATTGGTCAAGATAATCATAAAGTTTAACCCATTTCACATTTTTTGAGAACGATTTTGATTCGGATGACAAATTTATTATGTTCAATAAATAATAAGGGAATATAGTCATATCGCTTTATTTATTCAGATTCTGTATGGGTTCCCCGTCATGTTGGTAAACAGTTCGATTTGAGCCGATTTTTAAAAACGGCTAACTCAATATTTTATCCAGAAAAAATATAACGCAAGCCTGAATATTTTGCTCATCATGGCACAAAGGTTTGGGCATTTATTAGCTAATTGAGGCTTGCTACTAAAATGAGTTGGCCTTTTTTTAAAAATCGACTTAATAGAGCCATTTAACAACACTAGTTCCCCGGATTACAAATTTTAGGCTTATTTAAAAAAAAATTAGTTATAATTTATTAAAATAATTATAAATGGGCAAATAAATAAAATTTGATATATTAACCATAAGGTATGGAATATTATTGTTATAATAAAATGGGATCTTGACGACCCCACGAGTTTTACATTCTTGGTAACTCAAAAAAAAATAAACTAAAAGCTATATATATCCAAGATTAATTATTTATTTAATAGTTTTTGAAATTTTTAAGTTGTTTAGGGTCAAATTAGTCCCCTCTCTTTTTTAAAAAAAAATAATTTGAAATCCATAATTTTTCATTACATAATGATTGTATACCGCTAACTTCTTTCTCGTATAATGGCGATTTTCTTAGTTCCGGGTAAGCCAGTTTCCCTTCTGATCCTTTTTTCCACTTTTACCGTCCTAGACATCGCTATTTGGACTTATTATTCTCATGCCATCCTTTATCTTTTATCCACCTCATCGTTGGTCCTCTTGGAGGCCTCGATCCCATTGCTTCCATTGAAATGCATTTCTTAACCCAATCAACTTTCGTTGAATGTGCCCAAAGCACCTCAGTAACAAGGAATTGTAAAAAAATTCGAAAATTGATATTATGTGAACCACTCATAGAATATTCTGTATTTTTCTTGGCCGCTAATTCGCGCTAATTATGAATGAGGGGGATGCAAAAGTTTAAAATTTTATATTATTTAACTTATTTGATCAACTTTTGAAACTAAATATCCAAAATATTTTGAGTACGAAATCTGATATAGATATACAGTCATCAAATCATTTGCTAAATATTATTTATCCTATATATCAGCACGACCCTTATCTTTTTCCAGATTTTGATCTCAGAAAGTGAAAGAAAGGACCTATTACCATCTCATACATATTTATGATGGAAAATAAGTAACACACTACCCCTAAATACTGAGCCCTACGGTATCCTTTTCATTTTACCGAAGAGCCAGGTTTTTCAATTTTCAGAAGTTTTTATTTCTAGACCTCTTTTTTTCTTGTCCTCTCCCGAATTTCGTTTTGATCATTTAAATAAAGCTTTTAATAAATAACTGAGCTCTCTTACATTTCTAAAACTATTATATAATAATACACTCATACTGCCTGATTCTGATTTATAATGTGTTACCACAATTTTTATTTAATTTTAAATATTATTCCTAATTTCTTATATTATTTATAAACTTTTCTTAATAATAGAAGAATATTTTAATTTCTTGAAAGCGATTCAAAAAAAAACTGAAATTTTCTTTTCTTCTTATTTTTCTAATTCATTAATCATATTCAATAATATAAAATATTATCTCAAAAAAATATTTACCTTGAGATTTAAAAAAAAAATATATATATATATAAATGGAGTAGCTTATTTTAAGCTAGATACAAATAAACACGAATTGGAGTATACATTATATAAATTTTTATAGAATAAATTATTACGCGTACAAACAAATTATTGAGCTATCTAACTATTTATAAACTTAATTTTAAACACTCTAGATGGGTGGGGGAATCATGAGACAATTTGGTAATAAATATATTGGGCTATAATTATATTACAACAATTGTACAATGTCGGAATTTTATTAGCATATAATTTACTTTATATTAAAATATTTATTGATTGGATATAATTTAAATTTTGTAAGAAGAAAGGGGAAAAAAAGAAATGAAAATATAGTTTTTGTACAATGATATTCAGTTCTGTCAACGATGTATAGAATCGAGTCCTATAGGACAGGATCGCGGGCCGGGCCAGCAGTAACATCAATAAAATATAGACCTGGCCCGAGGCCTAAAGATATTAATTACATATTACCTTCCTTCTTAGCTTGATTAATTTTCACGATTATAAAACGAATTTTAAAAAGTTTTGATACAATCAAGAGATGGAAAATTTTTATTTTTCATTTTCATATCATTTTTTTTTAATTAAAAAAAAAGAGCTGAGTGAAACTAAAAAAAATTGTATCTTATTTTAAATTCGTGTGTGTCTCTTCTTTCCCGTCAGACAAAAATTCGAATCCTTCACTAAACGAAACATGGAAAATAAAAAAATATTTAAAATTATCAAACTACATATTCACTCCAATCATATTATCAACAAACGGACATTTTCCTCCTTTAACATACAAATTTTTAAAACTTTTATACTCAAAAATCATGACATTTACTAATGAACAAGAGAATTTCCCCTTCTACGGCAAAAAGTGCAAATTGATATGTTCAAATATAACTGGTCCCTTTTTGGGAACCCAACTAAAAAATAGTTGGCCATTATATTTAACCGTTTATAATAAGATTTTTATATTATTATGTTTGATTTTTATATGTTTTTTATAGTAGAAATTTTTTTTTATATAGATTTTATAATGTTATGTTATATTTGTTACACAAAATTTTACTTTCATACTCAACAAAATAATTCTTCATTGAAATATCTAATTCTACAAATAAAGTTTTTTTCCATAGATATAATTCTTAGATTATTTAGAATCGCACTTCTAAGTCGAGATTTAATCAGCTTGCTTTTGCTAATTAGGGGAGACCGGGGTAAAGCGATTGACGGGGTAACAATGTTAACGCGAATAACTTTTTAACCATTGAGTATAAAGACCTTAAATTTGGTGTGAAGATGTATTTTTATATCTAATTTCTTACCTATGTTCATCTTTTAAAAAACTTACCTGGTTTTATATATTTTGTCAAAAAACTGTTTTTTACCCAAAAAATATAAAAATCATTCTCTAGTATATTTTGCTTTTAGTAAAATTTACATATCCTCAGGATTCAAAATTTGGCACACATGTTCCTTAATGTATTAGCTATAAAATAAAATTTATCTGACATCTTTAGCTATATTAGAAGTCACGCAATAACGATATTTATAATATATGTCACCTAGGGGTAAAGCTGTTATGGGTAAAACGGTTAAAATATAAAATTATTCACATTAATTTTTCATTAATTTATTTATTATAATTTTTATTGTATCAACCAAATAATGAGAAATTATAAAAGAAAAACCATATACAGAGATGTAAATATAATAAATGAAGCCATAAAATATAAAATAACAAATAATACTTCATTAAATTTGTCTGCTAAAAAATTTAACATACCTTATACAACGTTGAGAAGGAGATGTAAAATTGGTATTAAAAGTTCAGATCATCATAAACAAATATTTACAAATGAAGAAGAATCTAGATTGTGTGACTACATATTAGAAGCAAGTAGGTCATTTATGGGATTAACGCCTAAACAAGTAATTAAATTATATTGTTTGTATTATATTGTATTTCATAATTTTAATAACTCAATTTAAATATCAATATTAATTTGGTAACTTTAATAAAAATGCTCAATTGAAATTATATTGTATTTCATAATTTAAATAATGCTCAATCTAAATATCAATATTAATTTGGTAACTTTAATAAAAATGCTCAATTGAAATTATATTGTATTTCATAATTTTAATAATGCTCAATCTAAATATTATTAATTTGGTAACTTTAATAAAAATGCTCAATTGAAATTATATTGTATTTCATAATTTTAATAATGCTCAATCTAAATATTATTAATTTGGTAACTTTAATAAAAATGCTCAATTGAAATTATATTGTATTTCATAATTTTAATAATGCTCAATCTAAAAATCATGTGGGGCAACAATTTCAGATTTATGATATTCCAGGAGTGTTAAAAAATGAAATACCAAGGGCAGTGACATCAAATAATATATTAAATGGATTCTTAGCAAGTGGCATATTTCCTTTAAACCCAAATATATTTACAGAACAAGATTATATCTGCTGTAATAATTCAAATGCTAACTCAAATATTGAATTTGAAAATAATGATGAAAATATTACAGTGACTCAAAATAATGATAGTGATTTATCAATATTATTGAACGAAAATGTTCCAGATGATATTGATGAACCTTATCATGATATGTTACCATCATGCTCAAAAAATTATAATAAAGTATTCAATCCTTCATCTATAATACCTATTCCAAAATTATTCAATATTTCATCGGATAAAATATCTAAAAAAAAGAATTCAGAAATATTAACATCTACACCTTATAAAAAAAAATTATTAATTCAGAGAAAAAAAAAGATATCAAAAAATAATTGTGTATGTGTTATTTGTAATAAAAACTATAAAAATAGTCGCGAGGGCGATGAATGGCTAAAATGTACAATGTGCCTTGAATGGGCACATTCTAAATGTGCTAATTATGATAATTATTTTACATGTCCTTATTGTATCGATTAGTTTTTAAATAAAAATCATAAATAAATCTTAAATTTGTAATATTTGTTAAATAAAACAATAAATATGTGTCAAATATTATTTTAACCACTTTACCCTAGTGCTTATCCATTTTACCCTGTACCCAGGGTAAAATGGCGAAAATGAGTAGTTTTACATAACTAATCATAGCTCCTAAAATATTATAGGTAGAGGGCTACACTTTTTATTATCTTGTAGAAGAGAGATGGGGCTACACATTGATCTATAATTTGTTGTGTTTGACTCTTGTTTAAAATTTTTATGGTAAATATGCAAAATGCCTATCGTTTTACCCCGGTCTCCCCTACTCTTATTCATAAATATTAATGGCATCACCCCTTAGGAGATACATATACTTTTTCTTTAGTAAACTTTAAAAATCATCATATAGTAAACGTAATTAAATCATATAATACCTTTCTGTCTAAAATATTGAGTTAGTCATTTTTAAAAATCGGCTCTAATCCAGCCTTTTAACAAAACTAGGTTTAACACGTTATAAATAAGATTAAATTTATTAAAAACCATTCATTAATTGAGGCTATTATCTAAAATAAAAATTTGCCAATAGACCGATAGCCAGCTTGGGCCAAAAAAAACCAAACGGAATACTATTATCCTTAGAAATTAAGATAAGGGCGCGATTGTTTTAGATATATATTTATTTTTAAAATGGATATAACAAAAATTACGGATTTAAAATTTTTTGCAATGAATCATTCATTTCATAAATTAATCATGAAATTTGCTACAAATACAAAATATGTAATTTTTTTTATAAAATATTTTGATTTTGTATTTGTTTTTATAGTAACTAAATATAGTCATAAAAACTTTGAATTTTTATTATTTTTTTGGTATAATTGCATTCATCTCATATAAACGAAGCCCCTTTCCCCCCAAGAGTAGGGATAAAATGATTTGGGTCGATTTTTAAAAACGACCCGATTAAGATTTTAGTCAAAATAATATTACATAAGCCTGGTGATTTTGCTTAGATGACCGAAAGGTTTAGACTGCTATTTGCCAAATCTCGGTTTAAATAATATTTCTTTATCTAAAATCTTAATCGAAGCATTTTTAAAAATATACCCAAATTGAATTTTTAACAGCACTACACAAGAGGCCTATAAAAATTATCAGACCTGCAGACCCGGGTATTAGAGGGCTGGGCCATATAAATTTTAAAAAAATAAACCCAAGCCTAGCCTAAAGATTTTTTCAACACCTAACTGGCCTAAATTTTTTCTCCTATAAACCCGGACCGCGCCGAGTATTTTAAAACTCGACTATTATATATAATATAAAAATAAATATATTTAAATATTCACATTCATTCACTCTTATTTTAATTTCCATTTCAAAACCATTTATATCTCTCGTTAACTAGTTAATAATAGACACGAAAATTGTTTTTAAATTATTCATTAATTATATTAATTTTACTTTGGCCTTATATACTCTACTATACTAGGTAAATAAAATAATTACTAATTTAATAGACTAATTCATTTTTATTTTCAATAGTTACATAAACTAAGTGAAAGAAAGAAATAGTTACTTTTAAATAATTACAACATATTACAATAATCAAATCTAACTATATATATTACAGGTAATTTTTTCTGCAGATTATTATATTTTATAAATGATTAGAAAATAACTAACCACATTATTTAAATTTGCCTTTAAAACTTTACTCTATTAGATAAATAAAATAATTATTAATTTTGAGACTAATCAATATAATTTTTGTCAATCAAACATACATTATAAAAGAAAATACACTTCGCCAAAAATGAACACAAATATACATTCCCTTGTTATTAAATGAAAAATATAATCTTCATTTTAGAATAAATATTAAAAGTTATTCGATATTAAATTATTTCAAATTATCTGTAAACCTAACCGAAAAATACTGAATTAGTATATATTTCCTCAGGCCAATTTTTTTAAACCCGTGTCATAAAGAAAAATTTTTATATACTGGGGATTGGCCGAAATTTTTCCTTGTATAAGTATAAAACCCTAGTCAGGCCGAAATATAATTTTTTTAAATAATCCGGTCCGAGCTGAAAATTATTTTATTTTTTACAAACCCGGACCGGGCCGGGACGTGAAATTTCTCTTAACATTATTATAGTCACTTGCTAATTAATCTTAATACATTTTAAAAAATTAACAAAACATTTCCATACTTTCTTGTTTAAATGGGTTTAGCATATTTTCATCTCAGTTTCGTTCTAATTCGTTGCAAGTCTTCAAATTATATTTTGACTTTCATTTACTATAGCCACTCTCATGACTCTTGGTGTGGTTTGAGCGACAAACGTATCAGGAACTGGATGATGTCTCACTATTCGACACCTCTTGACTCAATCAATCCTAGATCTCACGTTAGAAAAAATAATTCATCCTTTTATTTTAAATTATTAATTGGTTCAAATACCATGATGAAGGGTTAGAATCTAGCCTCATATTGTTGTTCGAATTTGGTCATTGGCGAAGCCAACATAACCAAGGGGATGGGAAGCGGTAAATTTACTCCTCCGTAGCACATTTGCCATTTTTCGTTAATATTATTAAAATCAATCAAATTTATCCACCCTCCCCCGCCCGCTTCCCAGAAAATTACTACAAACCGGCCCATAAATTTTTCAAAGAGGTTTTCGTCCCGGTTTGCAAAAATTTTTTTGAAAACTGTCCTGCAAGACTCGTATAAATTTTTTTGTCTAATAGACAGCTTTAAAATAAATTTGAAACCTCGATCCGACTAGTAAAAAATATTTTGCAAGTTTTCGGGCTTTACCGACATCTAATAAAACTAGCTCATCACGTCATCATAAAGTTTTAACATATTATTTCCTAACGGTTATATTTTTTGAAATCTCATGAATACTTTTAGGTAAAATGATGATTTATATGTATTTTTTTTAGGCACACGATATAAACGAAAAATTATCGCGTGTAAATTCTCAACAAAAATCTCGTCGCCCTAGAGGAGTCAGAAGGTCCGAAATTCCCGAAAAAAATACGTGTTCTCTTTTTATACAGACCGATACCTTCTTGTGGAATCATATAATCAAGAAATTGGACACTACAGACAGGTTCAACAATATCCAAAATAGAATAAAACTCGGACTCGTCTTTATTTTTTAAAAACAGGAATATATATCCAACTGTACTGCTAATTTCGATAGAAAAATAGAGAAAGAACTTTTTTTTAAAAAAAAATAAGTAAAATATAGATAAGAGGAAACATAAGTCGGTTCAAAGACATTAAATTTAATTAACCATTGATACTTTTTATGGGTTTTAACATAAGAAAACCGAGACAGAAACCTTGTGGGGAGGGTATAGTGCCTGCCTGAAGGGCAATTTATCTCATATCTAACGACGTATAGGATTCTAAGAGAGTAGGGAGCAATTTTTTTGGATGACATGGGGGTAGTTCTTCCAGAAGAACTTCTCAAGTATAGACCCCAATAGGGGGTTTAGTGGTAACGCTATTTTACATAACACTATATAATTAAGATTTTTATAATAATCGTTTTTACTCTCTTCTAATTTCTTTCTGCATTTTATTATATCGTTAGGAGACGCGTCAGAGAAGAAATCATAGCGATGATATCCTCCCACATCAAGGCCGTCAATCATATCTACGGCTCCACCGATTTCGGTGAGGTCAAAGGTATCCAATTCGTTGTACAAAGGATCAAAGTTTGTTTTACTTATTTATTTTAAATCTTAAAATAATTCAAATGAAGAAAAGTTTTAAATGATTCCTTTCAAGTTTTTAACGAGTATAGTATATGTTTGAATTTTTTTAAATTTAAGGTTTTAGAGTCCACTTACTGTGACAACGTATCCGATCAACGGCAAGGTAGTTACTGCAACCCCAATTTGGATGTCACCAACGTACTAAATCTGTGGTCACTCGAAAATCATGACGATTTTTGTTTGGCATACCTTTGGACTTACAGGGACTTTGTAGGGGGCACGTTGGGCCTGGCTTGGGTGGCCGCCCCTGATAGTAATCTAAAATTCAAATTACCTATTTCCCCTAGGAAGTGTCTTAATTCCCCAACTACACAACTCCATAATGGCTTAGATAAGCTTTTACTCTAAAAATTGGCTTAAACCTCTAAGCTGAGTAGTCTCAAAAAGATGGAATTTTTTTAAAAATAAAGACATGGTGCCATAAGGTTAGGAGATTTGTTAAAATACCCTGGACGCTTAAATTTTAGATGAATAAATATATTTCACATGCATATTTAACAATTATCTACGGAGTTATAGGGATTTCATAAAGTTATGAGGGGGGTTGGCTTGTATGAGTACCTCTTGATCAGAGCTGTGAACCAGAACCCTCGATATTTTACCAAACTCGAACCCTTTTTTAAATTTAGGGTTTAAGGTTCATTAATTTTTATTTTAAATGTTATTTTTTTTTAAATTTATATATTAAAATTAAATATAAAATTTATCTAAACTATTTAAAACATAAGTATTTATTTTTGATATGAAAACATTTTTTGTGAAAATGATTTTTCATGGAATCATTTTTATTATATTTTAGAGTAAGTACTACATTTTATGTAAAAATTTTAATTTATTGTTTGTTAGATTATTAAATTAAAAGTAAGTCCAAGTTCAAAGAAAAGAACAAAATCACAAAGTAAAATAGTTTCATTAAATGCAAGATGCACTGTCAAAGTTAGGCATAAAAAAATCGATGGTTTAATTTTAACATAAAGATTTTAGAGGATATCTTGATAATTTTTCTTCTCCGTTTAATGACGATTTCCAGGTATACTCAGTATCATGATTATTAGCTTATAAAATTTAAAATAAGAAATAGAATATTATTTTTTATCTTGTATTGCACGATTTTTTAAAGGTTTTAATTTATTAATCATCTATCCCAACCCTTCCCACTTCCTCTCTTTTTGGGTTACAATTTTTTTGGTCCTCCTGATATTTTAAATTGATTCCAATATTTTAGAATTAGTATTGGTAACAGTGATCCTCCTATACTCTACAAAGACCATTTCTTTAAAAATGGGCGCACTAATAGGATCAACCAAATATTTTACTTCATTTTTTTTTTAAAAAATAATTGAAATCGATATGATGATACCTTAAATATTAGAATGTTCTAATTTGCATTTTTTTTAAATAAAATAAGATCTCCTTTAAACAAGCGATTTTAAATTTTGCTTTATCTACGTAGGCTAAGGTCATACTTAGCGTTTAAGAAATTAAGCTAACAACCAGACCAGCTACAATTAGCACAAGGCAATTCCCTTGTTTAGGGCATTCATCGGCAGAATCAAAATATAAGAAACGAAATAACTATATTTTTACCTGAACGTTTTGTTTGGAAAAGGATATTTTCACCAGAAAATTTAAAACTATTAAATAAGATATGTATACCCAGAGCTTAGGATCTAAGATAACTTTATGAAACCCAGGCCATGCTGGGCCAATTTTTAAAAAATTTATATTAATCAGTTGGTAAATGTTTGAAAGTCATATAATTATTGTTTAATATTAAGTGACTGCTCATATTTTTAATTTCATTTTTCAAATAATTTACAAAATGTGGCAGAAAATTATTATAAAATAACGAGATTTTAAAAAATCCGAGCCTGGATGTAAAAATAATGAAACTTACAATCGGCCTAAAATTTAAATACCCGGGCTGGGCTTGATCTAGACTACTAAATATTTTATTTTATATTAAATTGTAATATTTTTAATTTGCTTCTAAATTTTTTATATATTAAATTTCAAATTATTTTTGGATTTTTTATAAAATTTTGCCAATTTTATTTTTTACCACGTATAGGGGAATCGGGTGGACTTTGCGAGACATTCAAACCATACAGTGACCTTAATCAAATCAAGAGGCGTACGATTTACAAATCGCTCAATACGGGGATCATAACCTTGGTCAATTACGGTGCTCAAGTCTCTCCTCGCGTCACTCATTTAACGTTCGCTCACGAGATTGGTCACAATTTGGGATCACCTGTAATGATGACAATTTTTTCACGAATCCCATTTTAAAAATGACGAACATTGTTAATTATGTAATTTTTTTTAAAGCGTAAGTAGATTGGGGTGAGCCACCGAATTTATTTCCGCCAGGAACACCAAAATTTTAGCATATACATATTTTTGGAGTTTTGCTGTAATTTTCATTCTACTTAAATAAAATAAGAGCATTTCGGATTCACCCCATATTAAGAACGCGAAATATAATCAAAATATTAACGATGATATATATTTTAAAATATATATTTTTTAGCACGATTTTCCTTCCCCGTGCAGACCGGGCCAGGCTTACGGAGATCGGGAAGGGAATTACATAATGTTCTCTTCTGCCACTTCCGGTGATAAATCCAACAACGATAGATTCAGTATTTGCAGCAAGGTTAACATGTCCAAGATCCTCGATGCCATCATTTTCGAGAAATATGGGAAAGTCAATTGCTTGATCAGTTAAAATCAATTTTTTTTAAAAAAATTAACTTAGAGGGATGGGCTTGTTCACATTGAGTGTGTCCTTAAAAAAAATTAATACTAATAATTTGCAAGTGTAGATTCAAATCTCGAAATTTAAAAAAAATATATTAGCACTAACTCAACTTGGATACTTATCAAACTAATAACCATAACCATACATGTGTTTTTTGTTCCGAAGCATTCAATAACACACCCTTATAGATTATAAATATTTTTTTTTTAAATTCACAATTGGGCCACATTCCTAAAGATCGAAGCGCTTTTTCAGGCATGTTTACGATAATTTTATTTATTTCTAAACGAAGGATAATTTGTCGAATTAATTTTTTTATATATAAGTATAAAAAAGTTATACGGCTACCAATTTTAGACACCATATAATCGTTGATAGAAAACGAAAAATTAATTCGACAAATTAGTATCCTTTGTTTGTAAATATAAAAAAAAAATTCTGAAAAACATGCACGCTTAGAAAAAAGCGTTTTGTTTGGACTTTTCGAGTTTATAAAATTTATGCTTTTTTTGTGGACTTAATGTTCCGAAATAAAGTAAGTTTGATAGAGCAATTTAGGAAATGAACACCCATGTTAAATTACAGTTTATATTAATTCTATTTAACTTTTTGAATAAATTTTAATCAATACTAATTCGTTGCATTTAAACGACAACAGCCCTGTTGTTATTTTTTAATTATTAGAAATATTAAGTTTCAAGTTCTATTTACATTGAATTTTAAAAATGAACAACTAATTATAAATATTCACTCGTTCTCCCCATACAGAAAATGATGGCGCTTTCTGCGGCAATGGTCTGCGAGAGGAAGGAGAGGAGTGCGATTGCGGTTACCTAGAAGAATGTCAGGAGAACGGGGAAATCATGTGTTGTCACCCCAGAACCGAAGACCTAAACACTTCCTGCAAGAAAAAACCTGGGGTCATGTGTAGGTTAGTCTAAATGAATTTTTTTTGTTGAACACGCTTAGGGGCTGCATAACACTTTCGAATCGCATTATTATATGAAAATGTCTTTCATTTTCCTACTACTCGTCAGTTTTTTTCTAAAATCCCACACTTGTAATTGTATTACGCCTAGATTTTTTTTAAGATTTAAAATTAAGTAGTTCAGTTCTACTCAAATTTTATTAAAAAATTAATAAATATATTATATTAATTATTGTAATTAAATAAAATTTGAAACACAATCATTCAATAAAAATTAATTGTAAAGCCCTAGCGAAGGCCCATGCTGTACCAAGCAATGCAAGCACATGACGCCGAATGTGATGTGTTCTCGGCACACAGAATGCAGTTTGGATTCGTTCTGCACTGGTTTGTCAGCTTCATGTCCCGATCCCCGCCACAGAGACAACCGAACCACTGCATGTAACGATAACACTCAAGTGTGTTGGCAAGGGGTCAGTCAAATATATATTTCGCTTATTTTTTTACCCTTTCTTTTTTGTTTCCTTCATAGATTTAATATCTTCTTTTTGTTTATATTAGTGTTGTTAAACGGCTTGATTTGAGCCGATTTTTAAAAACCGCTAACTCAATATTTTATCTACAATAATATTACGCAAGCCTGAAGATTTTTGCTCATAAATGGCAAAAAGGTCTAGACATCAATTAGCGAAATCTCGAGGCTTAGGCAATATTTTTTTGGCTAAAATATTGAATTAGCCTTTTTTAAAAATCGACTCAACGAGCCGTTAACAACACTAGTTTATATACCATTAGTTTAAAATTTTTTGAACCATTGCTAGAGGTATATTAATTCCACTTTTTGGAGGTCGATCTGATATCGGCCGATTTCCGATCCCATATCATATTTGATTTTGTATTCTGTAAGCATACTAATCGTTTTAATTTTTTAATGCACACATCTACTCATCTCATATACTTTTAAATAGTAAACATCTATAATGTTACTATACCATTACAAATCATTTATTAAATATATTATAATCTAAAAGTATATAAAATATTTAATTGATAAATCATTTATAATTAAATTAATCATTTTATTTATAAAAATAAATGGTATTATATATAACTTTTTTTAAATTTTTATCTTTTTTTTATAATATGCAATATTTTAAAAATTAAGACGCCATTTTATCCAATCAAAAAATTTTATAATATCGATTTTAAAAATGAAATATTAGCCCGATACAATAAAATATATTGGTACATCTCTAATTTTTGCATATCAACTATTTCATAATTGCTTTATTATCATCTCATAATTACACCACCAATTTAAATCTATTTTTTTTATGCGAAAAAAACGGTATAATTATAGCAATGTTTGGGTTCGATATGCGAAAAAGTTAATCTCGAACAATGTTTTATCAAATACCCTAAAGAGAACAAAAATCCGGACAGGGAAAAACTTTGTCAATTAGCCTGTCAGCAGATCAGTAAATTAATTTTTACATGTGAATTTTTTTAAACTTATGAACATTATTCTTTGCATACATCATTTGTTACTGTTTTATAAAGGGCCTTCAACTTCAACCCCTTTAGTTAACTTTTTACCAAAAGTTGAGGGCCTTATTCTATCCCAGACTTTAAGAAAACACATTCTTAATTTGCCGCACAAAGACGTTACCACTCCCCCGACATGTTGAGACAGAAGGAGAGTTTGTAAAAGATAACTCTTTCATTTTTTTGAGCTAATAACTTATTTATCTTGTAAAATTAATTCAAGACCAACCAGAAACGTGTAAAAGCAGTCACGAATACCCGGCTCTCAGGGCTATAAATAAAGGGAATGGCATAAACCTCAAACCCGGGTCTCCTTGCAACAATTACTTAGGCTATTGCGACGTATTTTTGAAATGCCGAGAAGTAGACCCCCAGGGACCCTTAACCAGGCTCAAAAATCTTGTATTCAACACGAAGACCTTCGCTGTGTTAAAGACTTGGATCGTGGTATATAATAATATATATATATTCTCGAATTAAACTTGACGATTGTCATCTAGGTACGGGGGGGGGGGAAGTTGAGAGGGAAAAGATAATGGGGTGAAGGCGGGGGCTATATATTTTTGAGGGAGTAAGCAATTTTATATATTTAATTCGAAATCTTGGATTTTGTATAAAGCTTGATTTGAAATGTTAAAGGTTGACTATAAATTTACATTTGCAAGGAACATTGGTGGGCCATCTCTCTGATAACGCTAGGTATGATGTTATTCATGGGTCTCTTCGTCAAATGTTGCGCCGTCCACACGCCCAGTAGTAACCCTAAAAGACCGCCAGCTCGTACTTTTAGTGATACCATGTCGCGGACCGCTCATACTATCAGAAGGGTATAACATTAAAAAAATATTTTTGGATATTTTTTTAAAATTAAATTTTAATAACTGATATGACAGGTTATCAATCAAAATAATTTAATTTTATAAAAAAAACGTTTTTATTATATACCATACCTTTAATTAACTTGAATCCTTATTTTGCTGACCTGTGATCCTACTCTTTACCTCAGTTACCTGTTTTATTAATTTTTAAATATATTTTATTCAATTCCAAAGTTTTCCTCAAACTTTCCTTAAGTTGAGTTATTAGTATTTCTTGAAGGGTTATCTATTATAAATAGTTTTTTCATAAATTAATTGCTATCATAATCGATCAGATTCAGAGCCTATAATTAGTAAAATGTAAGACTTCACCATAGATACTAATAAACCTGCAACCCAAAATGAGGTATCTTGATTTGATTTGATTTTAATAATATAGTTTAATTACAAAATAGTCATTAATTAAAATCTTATTTTGTAAAAAAAAATTGGAGAATCATTTCTATAAATATGCTTATTTCTTTTTTTTATTAAACACATGTCTATAACTAAAAAAAATTTAATAGTGTCTGGTTTCATATATTTATTATTTAATCAAATTCAAATCAATATGGCATAAAAGTATAGTTTTATTTAAAATTAATGTTATCGTTACGCAGTTCAATGGTAATAATATTATCGTTACGCAGTTGGTAATAAAAGTCTATCATTTAATAGAACATTGAGTTTAAATTTTTTTTAAAAATACATTAAAATTTTTCGTATACGTTTATTATTTTTTTGTCCAATTTTATTATTATTTCGCAAATAGCCTCTTTATGACTGAAACTTTAAATGAGTTATTAATTAAGCTAAAAATAAAAAGTGTTTTTTCTTAAATTTATATAGACTAGCCACCACGTGTTACATTCAGCAAGCACCCTCAGGAGAATATCTTCAAATCCGCACGTAATATTTAAATATATATAAATTCTTCATTTATGTTAACATTGATTTTCTTTTATTTAAATAATTTTTATTATATGTTTTAAAAATTGAAATTTTGTAATTGAAGATATAAATATAATGTAATTATAATAAATGTTTTAGCATTCAACTTCCGCCGACCAATTACCCCCTATAAGTAGGATAAGAGTTTTCCCTTCCAACCATCAAGGGCACGCCCCTCAGCCCTCCGCGCCTCACCTAAGCGAGAACAGCATCGTATACACCGACAGGAACGGTAGGAATTTCGGTGCTAAAGCCAATAAACTTTCTAAGCACCGGGCATTGGCATACAAGGGCAAAAATGTGGGAGTACAGGCTCAACAAATGCATCACAAACAAATAAAAAAACAAAAGGAAAAACAGAGGAGGGCCACCAAAAAGGATAGCAGAAGTAATGATAAAATATAGTTCTTGATCTGATAATAATATCTCACTTAACAAATACTTAGATGGCTCAAACAATTTGATACCTAATTCTAATGATTTATTGTCCGCTCGCGCGTCCTCTTCTTCGAATCACAATAATCATTACGCTAAACGGACTCAGCACCCGCAAATTAAAGAGCGCATATTAGTCACGGTTGCCTCATCTCGTTCCTCGATCCCGCAGGGCGCGCCCCCGCCTTATGATAATGTCGTAAGTGGTAGTAATTCGTCAAATGCACCCGCGATTGCACGTTCTTTACCCTTTCTGGTGCACGAAAACGGTGGCAAGTATGTTTTTTTTTACCATATATTTTCTTTCCATTATAAATTTTTACTATTGCTTTTATATTTCTTAACTTTTATATAACAACATGCTATATCTAATTTTGCATCTTAATTAGAGGGAAACAGCGTTTTAATGTTAATCGGCCATGCTAACTAATTAGGATGCAGCCTAATATGGTTTTTGCTAGCCACACATTAAATTAATAGATTATTAATAAGTGTATATGTATATATATTTTATATATTAACTTGTTTAAGGCTACCCAAGGTAGGATACGGTAAAAACCGCGGCATTTACAATCAGGTTAAAGAAACGGCCATTCTTTCATCCGACAAAAAGAAAAAAAAATCCAAAAAATGATAAAATCGCATTTTTATTTGTTTTTTTTACAGAATTTATTTTAATATAAAAAAAAGGCTCAAGTATTTAGAAGTTTAAATATGCGTGACTGAACTATTAAAACAAATTTTTCGTATTTTGCCACACAAAAATATGCACAAATTTTTTTTAAGTATTTTTTTTTTATTTTAAATTTATATACCTAAATAATAATATGCAAAATTTAATTTCTAAATTATTCTTTAAATATTTATTGTTCATCAATAAAAAAAACTACCTAGTTAATTATAATGATCTGTAAAGGCTACTCGGCACTATTTATTCAAAGTTTGTTTATTCTTTATTACACGCTCATTTTTATAATAAGAGAATGATTAATTTTTTCACATTAATCTATCTCATTACTAAAAATTTTATTTATATTTTTTTTAAATATTATATATAAATATATACATGTGATTTTTTTTAGTATATTAACTAACATGCTTTTTATTTTTATGCATTTTAGTTCTACTTAAAACATCGCATTTATACAGTGTTTTTATCCTTCAGATTTTATATTCCGCTGACTTTAATAAGTTTTATATATCTGTGATTAGTTTATATTACAATACATACATATTTTATTATAAATAGTTGTTTTTAACAAAAATTAACCCATATTTTAAAAAATATGACTCTCAAATAGTAAAATCTCCATAAATAATAATATTTATATTATGCATACTTCCTTATTGTAATTATTTTTCTTGTAAGTATTATAATATAATATTCTAATTAATAAAAAATATTGTTTTAATGCAAAAATATGCTAGAATTTGTGTTATTTTAATTTTTCTTAGAAACATAATATATTTAAGATTTAGTAATGTAGATATTCAATGTTTGCCTTATTTATATTTTAAAATTTTGATTTAAAGCGCCATTTTGTCTACGAATGCAAAAGTTCACAATATATTATTATTATCTCAATATTAAATTAAATATTAAAAATGTTTTAAGAATATAAAATTTAAATTAGTTTATTCTACAGTTGAAAATATGAAAGGCTGCCTAAGGACACATTTTTCACTTCTTTATATATTTTTAAAGTAAAGTTTTATAAATTTTGGTCGGTATGTTTGTTTCTTACTATACCAAAGGACTACCTTTACGTTGAATTATCGTCCATTCATGCCATCCTGCGGTGGTCTTTTTTTCTATCCATCATGTATAATATCCAATCTCATCTGACCGGCCATGCGTACGAATGTAGTGCTCAGCCAACCCATTCAATTTAGACCAGCATTTAGACGACCTAATATGTTTTATGTTGCTTTAAAAAAGATAAGCTTTGAATTCAGTTCTAGTTAAACGAGAGTTATCTGAAACGATGTGAAGTAATCCTAACCTAGTGAAATAATTTCGCAGATTATTTATTACACTTTTCGAATTAATGTGTTAAAATTGCAACTTCAACACATTTGGTGAAGGCGTCTTTGCAAAATAACCAATACACTTCAGAAAGTGGCCTTGACATTTCTCTGGCTCGAGGTCTTTCTGGCAACTCTCGCAGCACTTAACGAAATCTTCAACATCAGATCAAGATTTGCCAAAACGTAGTATCGGCATAAACTTTATTCCCACTATACCAGGATGCCCTTGATCAAATGTCTTTCTTTGGTTTATTGGAACTATCATTATAATACAATATTCTTGAAATGCGACAAAATAAAATTTTATAATCTACGAATGATTATTAATATTGACAATATACCAATTTTAAAATTAATTTAATAACTTCTTTTAGAATTACTAAATGGTTTTTTACGATTTTGTTTTAGTGGCCTAATTCTGTTCAGCCATCGAAAGTATGCAATTGATTTTTCTTAGCCAGTAAGATCAATAGCGTCACAAGAAATCACGACAGGAATATCGGAGCAAGGAATTATTGCGTCTTTTGATTATGTATATTTAACTATTAATTATTTCATTTTCTTGACTGGATCAAAACCAACTAACATATCGTTATAGAATCTAAATATATACGACTCATGGTAATTAACCACCCTAAGATACAAACGTAATACTTTAACATATGACGATTTTTTGCAGTTTTTTATAGCAGTAAACTTATTTTCTGTCGGGTGGATTCCTAATTCATCAATTACATTACTCAAATTTCTGCTGACCTTTCACCAATTTTTATTTTATCTATTCGTTGTAAGTCAGCCTTGTTAAATCGTCTTAGTAGTTCATGTATTATTTACATGAAATTATTCTCTCTAGAAATGATTACGTCGTGTAAAAAACCCTACACTGACCATGGGAAATCTTTTTAACAGGTTTTGCACTTTGAAATATTTTCGGTGTATTAGTTCAACTCTCTAGGGATTCTTAGGCAACAGTAATAACATATGAGTCGAAATTGCTAAAGGGTCTCTACATTTCAGGCTATCCGAATTGTAGGAAAGCATCTCTTAAATCTATGTTGGAAAACATTTTACCACTAGCAATTAGTCAGGTCGGCAAAAGTTGTTTATAAATAATTAATTTTCTCTAAATATTTTTTGATTGTTGAACAAAAATTTTCGCAGTTCCATCAGGCGCCGGATTAGATATTTATCGTTAACGTCGCCCAAGTAATCGTAGTTGTAGAATCCACCTATTCGATGACGCCTTCTTTAAGAGGCCTGTCCAACTATCTATGGTACAACGCAGCGGAATTGTTTAACTAAGGTGACCCTACTCTTAAGGTAAAAATTTTCTTGAAAGTTCTAACCAGTGTTTTAAATTACAGAGAGGACAATTACTTTTAAATTTTATCAAAAAATTAATCGTTTTTTACCTCATTTAAGCGTGTAAAAAAAATACTTGATATATTTTTATAAACTTACTCCACACTGTTTTGTAATAGATTCTGTCTAACTTACCTAGGTAATGATAACTCTTATTTTTAATTAGATTTTCTATTCCAATATAAGTTAAGATAAGATCTTTCTATAATATAGGGGCAAAGATATTATTTTACTCTAAAAATGAGTTACAAAATACTTTTAAATATAAATAAACATGATATATGATTATTGTGAAATGTAAGAGGGTTTTAAATTTCATATAATGCCAATTTTTTTATTTTTAAACTCTTCAAATTTTAACGCCAACTAATATTGTAGTGCAAAAATATCTTGATAATTTACCTAAAAAACATATTTTATCATAAATTAAAATAGTTGAGAGGTAAAAAATACTTTTAGCCTCAAATTTAGATATTATACAATGCTATTACATAATTAAATTTCTAAAAATGTCTGATTTTTAAATAAAATCAGTAGAACCGGCAAGCCCCTTGGGTCAACTAGCCCTGGTCTCCACTATTTTTAATTCCTTTTTCTTTCTAATGGTATATTATTAATGGAAAAATCACCAGATTTGATAATCCCAATTCAAGAAAGTCATTTATCGCGGTAAAAGTGAAAATGATTTTTTTCCCCGATTAAAGCAGTGTATTCAAACGCCTAACTTACCAAATGAACTAAACAAGCAAACGCTCTATCGTCAAGATATTGGCAACGCTCTGCTAATTTTATCCTCAAATTCAATTATAATTTCCGTTGTTCTTCGAAGTTTAACAAGTCAAATCTAGACTCAAAAGTCATCGACGTCGGTTTAAATGTTTTAAAACATATTGACTTGATACACTTAAAAGATAGCGATTCATTATCTGTATAATATCCATGACCTACTAATTAGATATATATAAATGTTAAAAAGATGTGCTTGTATTGAGATTCAGTCGGACTTACTCTTTTTTAAACGAAAATTGGCTATCCAAATAGAAAAATAACGGGATATTGAACTCTCTACATCTACTTATCAAATTTAGCAATAGATAAGTCTGCCAGTTTTTTTTATTCTTCTAAATCACCACTAAAATATCTATATACATATTATCTTTTTTTTACATGTTCGCCACCAATTGAAAAATTTAGTAAACTAAAGTAATAATTAGTAGTCTTTATTATATTATATGCATTCATAGTTTATAATCAAAACAAATATTAATTTCTACATATAAGAAAATATAATCAATCTTTTTAGAATGTTCTCTTTTTCTAAAATAATTAATAATCGCATTCAATACACTAACTACGGCTCTTAACATCCTTGAAAAAGTTAGTACCTATGAATCACTCAATTTCTCTCTAATGACAAGCAGGAATATACATGTTAGTCACAATATTTGCAACATTATGAGCATAATTAGTTGAACTTCTTATGTCATACCGGCGGTGTTTGTATTTCTTGAACTATTTGTAAATAATTTCTATGAATACGGGGATTATGAGATCAAACTAAAACTAAATTAATATCCTATAATATATCGATAACTAATGATTTCTTATTTGATAACATCATGGTAATATAAATTTTAACTAAATGTGAACACGATAAATTTATTGGGCTTAAAAATTTGAGAACAAGACTAGGTTCCAATAAGGTTATGAAACTTTGTCCCACTATCCTTTTTCGGGAAATTAAACTATTTCAAGTCTTTAATTATTCCTATAAGATATGAAATGGAAACATAGCGGGACATAAATCAATATGAACATATCCCAGATCTTTATAAATAAATATTCAAGAATCACAAAAATACCATTTATAACTCAATCCAGTAGAATAAGTGCAATATTTTACCTGGCAACTGACTACCTTGAAAACACTAGACGTACTTTGCCATTAGCAAAAAAAATTTTTAAATAAATATATATTAAAAATTTTAATCGAAACAAAAATTTTCTTCCAGAACTATGACTTAAATAATAAAAAATACATAGAAAGTAATTAAATAATAATAAACAAATAACGTGAACCAATAAATGATAAACCAAATACAAAATCAAAATATTATGTATTATATTTATAATTAATTTATTATATTAATGCTAATATAAAAAAGAAGTATAAATGTCTAATTTATAATTATCTAATATTATATATTTTTTTTAAATATTATATAAATTATTAATAAAATCTATGTGATGAAATCAACTAAAATAATGTCAATAACATAAAGATATAAAGGGAATGAATTGTAAATAATTTTGATAATAATATTTCAACGATGAGAAATTAAATAATTTAAATATAATACTATACTATAAGCATATCTAAAGGTTAAATCAAAGTTAAAAAAAATTTATATTTAATATATTAAAATATAAAAGAATATGTTTGTTAATGAGATACGGGCTTTAAAAAAATCATTTCTCTTCTTTTTTGAAGTCTTTAATCAATTCCTCGATTTCCCTTTCTCTTTGACCTTTGCTTTCCTCACCATTATCCTGTCCTTCACCATCCTGATAGCTGGCGGTCGAGCTGAGCCTAGACAACGTTTCTATCAAATGATCGGGCACCTTACCTTCCCCATACTTCTTCCTAATCAAATCCAAAAAGTATTCGTAGGAGAGAGGTGGTTCGTAAGCCTTCGGTTTAATGTCCGGATCTGTCATGTAATTGGATTCTTGTAAAGAAGAGGTTCTACTCGAAGAATTTAAAGGAAAATTCGAAAGAGGAGACCCACTGTATTCGCCTGTCGGTGTAGAAGACGTGTAAACTTTCGTGACCGCCTTGTTGAAAACTGGGAGAAGTTCCGAAGCCGCGCTGGGTAACACCTTTTATATATTTTAGAAATGATGTCCTTTTATCCCCTTACTATAATCTCACCAATAATTTCTTATAAAAATAATTAAATTTGCTAATAAAAATTTGATTTAGTTTTTTAAAAATAATAATCATAAACTTTAATATAAATTATCGCATCCATTCCATAACCTTCTATGCTAACGAGCTTGATATCGCCTTGAAAATAGCGAGCGTATAAACGAGATAAGGGTAATCCGAACCCATAACCAGCCTATTATAGCATTATTTATTATTAAGTGAGTTATAATATTATGTTGTTTTTCAGAGATGCATGGAAAACAAGTTTTTTTCAAAAAAAAGACATAAGTTTTTTCTAATAAAATATTATATTACTTTCCTTAGTCTAAATTTCTATAATATATTTTTTTGACTTAATTTAAAGCCATTAATGCCTTTGAATTTTATCGAAATTCCTAATTATTGCTTTGTTTTGATGTGTATTCTGTATTCTTCATAATAAAAGTTAATTCCGAGACAAAATTTCAAAAGTATAAGGAAATAAAAGAATTAAAACAAAGATTTCTTTTTTATTATGTTTATGATAGTTATTATATGAAAGCAAAAATATTAAGAATTCTGTCTTTTTCTATAATCCCTTTCTTTCTTCTTTCTGTTTATAAATTTAAAGGTCGTTTTTTCTTCCTTCATTTTTCTTTCTTTCTTAATAGGCCAATAATTTTAAAAAATATATAAGGAATTATCATTTTGAGTATCGTTTAAAATTTTAAATATCGGACGATACCGATAGATACCTGAAATATCGACTGAAAATCGACGCATCCTCGTTTGTTTTTAATGGTTTTATAAGCTCAAAAATTATCATAATATATTTAAAAAAATATATTTTCCGAGAATAAACACTTAAAAATAAATGTTAAAATTAAAAAAGTCGCCCGACTCATAATATTTTTTGCATGGGCGTATCTAGAGGTCTGCACTGAGCGGAGTTTCGGTCTGCCCACCCATCTAAGTGGGAGGACGGGTGAGCAGGCAAAAATGTTTTAAGAAAGGGCGGTTTGGTTAAAAGACTTTTAAACTATGGGCGGGTGGGTGGGTGGGTTAAAAAATTTAAGCAATGGGCGGATGGGCTAAAAAAAATTAAAATCATTTAAGTTGATATTAATTAAAAATGGTTCTTATAAACTTTTTGGATATTAAATATTAAAATGTCCTTTTTTGGTATTATAAAACCTGTTTTGTATATTTAAAACTACTTTGGTGGAAACAACAAGAAAGAGATTTGCCAAAGCTATCAAGATTAGCAAGAAATATATTGGCGATTCTCACAACTAGTGCTTCTTCTGAACGAGAATTTAGTATTGCTGGAATTTAGAACAAAGAACGTGTTTGAATCCAGAAAATATCGATTCATTATTATTTTTGCATTATAATTACATATAATATCATTTTTATATTTATATTTTTTTCACAAGTATTTTATTTGATCAAATAATTATGCATAATTTAAATTGAATATTTTTTTATGCTTAATATGCAATTTTCATAATTATAAAACTTCTTGTAGAGGTGTAATGATGAAATATTTTTATTAGATGCTTAAAAATGGAAAGAATAGCCATAATTAAATTATATAATAGCCGGCTTGGGTTAAAATATTTTTATAAATAATGGATGGGCGGGTAAAAAATTTTAAACTAAATATAAGGAATTTTAGACTAATGGGCGGGCGGGTGGGTATATTTTTTTTAAAAACTATGAGCAGGCGGGTCACATTTTTTTAAATACTGGGTGGGCGGGCTTATGGTTCAAAAACGCGTCCAATGCAGACCTCTAGGCGGATCCGAAAACTGTTTTATGAATTTGCTTGTCTATACGATAGGTAATTAAATTTGGGAAGTTTTGAATAAATTATTCTGGCATGATCGCTTAAATTTTCTTAAAGAAGGTCGGTCAGATCTTTGATTTTAATATTATTTTAAAAAGTTATTTTAATTATTTTAATATAAATAATTTAGATATGTTATCATTATGGAGGGTGGGACATAAAATAGTATAATTATATATATATATATATATATATAAGTTAACCAATGGAGATGTGAGGGAAGGATCCTTGATTTTCGGTGTAGGAGCGGTAGAATATGTATATTGAAACAAATTACCCACCTTACTAAGTGGGACGCCACCGCCTTAAAAATAATTATTTTAAAATTTAGTTGAAGCAAATATTGTATTTTATATATAGTACTAAGAATTTGGATGACCTCGGTCAGATTCTGGTGAGGATTACTAAGTACCGCACCCTCTTGGTTACGCTTATGTTTTATATTAGATATTACGAAATAACATCGATATAGGATCTATTTCTAATTTTAAAAAAATTAATGAACTTTCTAACCAATAAAAAACAAGAAATGGCTAACCAATAAAAAGTAAAGTATAGCGAGGAAAAAATATTGATAAAACTACATTACTATAGTTTAATTTTTTTTGCTAATATCAATCAAAGGAAAAATGGCAACTACGAGTATATACAATATAATAGGTAGCTCCAGTCTTGCAACTAATTTGCATTTTTGGAATCCAACGACAAATGTACAGAATTTAGTTACTTTTTAAAAAAAATATAATGTTAAATATTTCTTATTTAATGATAATACAATAGTAAATTTTTTATTTTTAAAACCTTTATTTAAACATCTAATTAGTCTAAATTCCTCATTTTATTTTTTGTTAATGAATTTACCATCTTCAAATTCAATAGCTTTAATAAAATAATAATATTTATAGTAAAAGCTAATATACTACAATTTAAGTGCACGTGAAAAGTCCCTGTTTGGCAATTAATCTTCATTTTACTTTTAGATAATTATATTATCTTGAATATCAAAGATGACTTATAAATTGATGTTAATAATGGTGAAAATGTTTTATAAATGCATCTACTATAACACCTAAGTTTGATGCAATAATAACAAAAAAAAATATTAGTGGCCAACTTCTAAAAATTTTTCATTTTTTAGTCAGTCAACTTGGCTATACTGAGTTTCAAAAATATTGAATATTCTTTACCAGAAAATAAGAATATTTTTAATAATATAATAATTCATAAGCGTAGCCAAAATTTACCTGGGGGGGGGGGGGGGGGCTATCAAAGTTTATCGGGGGTGCTAGGGGAATTAGCCCATAAGTTTAATTCATAAATCTTAATGTCAATAAACAATTATGGAGAATATAATAATAGCACTTCCAAATTGAACGTTTATAGTTTGCGCGTTAAGTTTAAAAAAAATGCAAGATTTGCTGTTTAAATTAGGCGTAAGGTGGAAGGTAGTAAAATTATATGGGAAGATACTGTTTGTGATGATGTATTTAAAATTGAATGGTCGGAAAAAAGTCACCTAAAGTGTTATAGGGACCATTCTATGACAAATCGACCAAAAAACGAGATTTTTAATCATCAAAAACGTATAAAACTTAGAGGGTTACATAGATGTTTAACTTAAATAATTATCAAAATTTTAAGGCTCTAGTGCATCTGGAGTAATGGGCTTTCAAGCTTTAATATAGGCACCATTTTAAATTTAATAATCTCATTACTTGATAAAGATTTCGTCCAAATGTATAAACAATAAATTATTTCATAGTTCCTTAAATTCTCATTAAAAAATATATAACTTTTTTAAAAATAATTGTAAGTGTCGATGAATTTCCGATAAAACAAGAATGAGTTATTTTAAACTAGCCCCACCTTGGGACTATACCAGATAAGTTCTTTACGAATATATTTATTTAAAATAATTAGAATTAGAATAAAGAAACTAAAGATTTAAATATTACTAATTGTGGGGGAAAAAAAACCAAATATAAAGTGCTATATTTTAAAAAAAACTATTTTTTGATTAATTATCATTATACAATATTAAATACAGTTAAACACAGCAAAGATCTGCAATATTTTCGGTCGTATCTTCACAAGGGAATATAATGAACTCCAAAAAATTTAAGAAACTATTTTCATTAAACGCTATTTTATTTTAATTATCTTCAGCCTCATCGTGGCGGGGGAGTGGCAACGTATTTTGGCGGCTAATGGAGGTCTAAAAGGTTCCTTGTGATCTGGGTTTAGAATAGGATCACCGACTCCTTGACGGGGTGTAAAACCACATAAAGAGGTTGATGTCAAGAAGGGCATCCGATTGTAAAAACCTTGCTACAAAATTTCCCTATAGTTAAAACAAAGCATGGGCGGGGTACAGCTCAAAGTACCCCGTGAGCCTCCTCATCCGTCAACGACAAAAAGAATGGGAAACCTGGTGGAACCACTATTCATGAAAATGAAACTTATGACTGCCATAAACGACCTGATAAAAAGTGGAGAAACCAGTTTATGGGTGATCGAGTTAGGGTCGCGACTGACGGAAGAGCGGGAGAAGTCGTCGATGTATTGCACAGAATGCATATAGATGTGTGCTGCATACAGGAAACATGGAAAGGAAATGAGACCAGAATGATTGGCAAGACTAGCGAAAAGTATAAATTCTTTTGGCAAGGAGGTAATGATGGTAAGGCTGGAGTTGGGGAATTGGTTGCGGAGAAATTAGTAGACAAAGTAGTCGAAGTGAGAAGGCTAGACAATCAGATAATGGTTATCAAGATGATTTTTGGTAGAAAGCTATATAATATGATCTCGGCATATGTACCTCAGGTTGGAAGAAGTGAAGAAGAGAAAGATATATTTTGGGACAGTCTATTGGGGGTGACATCGAGACTAGCAAATGAAGAGGGGATTATCCTGGCTGGTGATTTGAATGGACATGTGGGAGCGAGTAGTGAGGGTTATGAAGGAGTACATGGAGGGTTCAGTTACGGCATGAGAAATTTGGAAGGAGAGAGGATTTTAGATTTTAGTGATGCTATGGATATGATTGTCTGTAATACAATGATTAAGAAAGAATTAGAGAAGCTGGTGACTTATAAGTCGGGTAGTACCAAAAGTGAAGTGGATTACCTGTTATTAAGGAGATGTGATCGATGTATAGTAAAAAATGTGAAAGTGATACAGGGAGAGGAATGTATAAATCAGCATCGACTAGTTCTAGGAGATCTCACTCTTAAAGGTGCCAGGGCAACTAAAAGAAAGTTTGTCCCAAGGCCGAAGGTTTGGAAATTGAAGAAGGAGAGTGCTAGACGTCAATTCAATATGACATTGGCGATTAGGGAGGAGGAGGTGTAACAAGCATCTGGGGTGAAAGACAAGTGGGAAGCCATAGAGAAAGCTTGGGTGATGACAACTGAGGAGGTATGTGGATGGACAAAAGAGCCGCCTAGACATAAGGAGACTTGGTGGTGGAACCCGGAGGTAGCGAAAGCCGTGGATGAGAAACGGAGGTGTTTCAAAGTATGATATAATAGCAAAGAAAATAGTGATAATGATATTTACAAGATGGCTAAGAGAAATGCTAAGAAATTAATAGCGAAGGCTCAAGAAGAAAAAAGCCACGAGTTTGCTAGAGAAATGGAATGCGCTGATGGAATTAGAAATATGGTTCGAATGTCAAAACAGATGTCAAAAAATAGGCAGGATGTGATAGGTGTAAAGTGTTTGAAAAATATGGAAGGAAAAATGGTGATTGATGGTTGTGGTATTAAGAACACCTGGAAGATTTACATGAAAGGACTTTTGAATGAAGAAAATGAATGGGATAATAATATTAGTTTTGCAAAGATAGAAGGTCCAGGGTGTAAATTTGGCAAGGACGAGATAAAGAGAGCAATGAAAAAGATGAAAAAAGGGAAGGCATAGGGTTTAACGATGGTGGTAACAGAGATGTTTAAAGGTTCTGATTATTTAGGGATTGAATGGTTAATGAATTTAGCCAATCAAATTGTCACAGAAGGTACTATTCCCGAGGACTGGCGTATACAAGGGGAAAGGTGATCCATTAGATTGCGGGTCTTACAGAGCTATTAAACTCTTGGAACATGCAATGAAAGTATTTGATAGAGTGTTAGAGAAGCGGTTAAGGGAACAAATTAAAATTGATGAAATGCAGTTTGGTTTTAAATCGGGAAAAGGCACGACAGATGCAATTTTTGTGGTGAGACAAATTCAGGAGAAGTATCTTGCGAAGGAAAAGAAACTCTATTATGCGTTTGTTCATTTGGAGAAAGCATTGGTGCCGTGAGATTACTAGATGGACCTTGAGAAAATCAGGTGTGGAGGAATGGTTGGTTACCGCAGTGATGGCAATGTATGTTGGAGCACACAGCAGTGCGGACGGATTATAGTGATAGTGACAGCTTTGAGGTGAAGGTAGGACTTCATGAAGGATCCGTGCTGAGTCCATTATTATTTATCTTAGTAATGGATGTGGTGGCTAAAGAAATGCGTGAAGGACTTCTCTGGGAGCTATTATATGCAGGTGACCTTGTATTAATGGCAAACAGTGAGGAAGAATTGAGGGATAAAATTAGTAAATGGAAGATGACTATGGAAGCAAAGGGCCTGAAAATGAATGCATCAAAGACAAAGGTGATGATTGGTGGGGAAAATCCAAAGGAGAAATCCGGAGTGGCCTTGTGGTGTATGTGGGAAAGGAGTTGCTAGAAATTATATCCAATGCACAAGGTGCCAGAAATGGGTACATAAAAGATGTAGCGGGAAAAAAGGAAGTTTGATGTTAAAAAGAATGACCTTTAATTGTAGAACATGCATGAAAGGGATACATAATAATGATAACCTAAAAAATGGTGGTCTGGATATTGGCAATGGGTTAACCCTAGAAAAAGTGGATAAGTTTTGTTATTTAGGTGATATGCTAAACGCAGATGGTGGTGTAGATTCTGCCGTTGTTGAAAGGATCAGACAATGGAAGAAGTTCAGAGAGATGTCGTCTATTCTTACAAATAAAACAGTTTCTCTGAAGTTAAAGGGGAAAGTTTACGTAAGCTGTGTGAGTAGTTGTTTAGTTTTAAGCGGCGAAACATGGGCAATAAAAGCGACTCACGAAGCCAAATTAGAAAGAACAGAGATGAGGATGGTTAGATGGATGTGTGGGGTATCTCTGAGAGAGAGAAAAACTAGCAAGGAATTGCGAGCAAGATTGGGTATAGAAATGATTGGAATGGTAATGCGACGAAATAGACTAAGATGGTTTGGGCATGTGGAACGTATGACAAAAGATGACTGGGTAAAGAGATGCACAATGATGGAAGTAGGAGGATCAAGACCTAGAGGAAGACCCAAGATGACGTGGACAGATGTGATAGCGGCGGATATGAGAAGCATGAATCTTACAAGTATTGATGCTCAGGACTGTCAAAAATGGAAAAGAAAAATCAGAGGGAAAACTGGCCTACCCGGGTAAACCTGGAAATCGCAATAAAACGGAGAAGAAGAAGAATACCTATTTTTATTTATTAATAAATGATGATTAACGTCCAAATGATAGATAATTTTAGCTGTAACATATATCGGATGTACACATACAAGTCTATGGGTATACACACATAATAGCACAGAAAATGGTAATGGATGTTTAAAATATTGAATTGCGATTTTAACATAATTATTATAATATATCTATATCTAATATTTTAATATTATATAATTATTTATAAAATAAAATGTCTAATATTTATTTTAAAAAAGGTTCATTACAATTATTTCTTTATGATTAGCGTCTTTTATATTTAGTTGTTATATTCCAAATTTGTGAAAAATGAGATGATATTTAAATTAATATTCACTCCATTCTAATTTTTACTTAAATATTTAAAGATATTGGTAATAGACATATCAGATGGCTAGCTCAAAATAACTCATTTTTATTTTACCGGAAATACGTCGAGACTTAAATTTTTTATTACTTAAAGTAAATTCTAAGGTCTACAAAATGATAAATAATTTATTCATTTGTACCAAATATTTATCAAGTAATTTGAGATTCTTAAAATCGAGATTGTGGGTATTGAACTTTGAGAACACATAACATCCATTTGAGCTAGAGCATTAAAATTTTGATTTATATATTACAGCGTACATATTTTAATAAACGCCACCATGTTTCATTAACTTTAAAAAAGGTCAGTCAAATGGTTGGTAGATTTGACATGGAATCACTCATAAAGGGATACAAATAGAATATATATTTAAATTACCTTTGTCAGATATCTTGATAGTCAAGTCCTCCTTCCCCTTGACGATGAGCGCCTTAACAGCCGGAAACGATTCGTTATCGGTTCCCGAGTATTCTATCGTAGCTCTTAACGCGTTCTTTAAAAATAAATTCGATCAAATTGAGCATTTTTATAAGATAATAAATAAAACATTTTGAAAATAAGATCTAAAAAGTCTTTAAAAAAACTAGCCCTTTATAATATTTATTTTTAAACATAAATTTAGTAATAATTAACATTAAATAAAATATTATTTTTTTCACTTGCGGAAATAACCCTTTTCCTTTAATAAACGAATATTTATTAAGGCCTCTAAAGTTAACTAATAAAAAAAATTTAATCATAAAAAATATCGTTTAGAAAAACAAATTGTTACAAGAGGATAATGTTAATAATTTTAAAACAAGATTATCGAGTGGCATAATTGAACACTTGAACGTTTAATTTTACTAATATTCTAATTTTTTAATTAAATGAAATATATATATTAAGTTAAAAGCAAGTAAGATTAAAGGTTAGAAAGATGTGGGTTGGTGTTAATTAAAGGTTTAAGAGATATGAGTTAAGGATAAGGATATTTGAGGTTTCTAATAAAATTAAATCATTTTATTAATAAACTTGTCAAATCTAATAGGTCATGTGATTAAAAATAATTTCCTTGAGTTAGACCGCCTCATTATCTAACCCGGACAGAGAAAAATGTGGCCTATATTATAAAAGATCCAGATTTTAAAAATCCGACTAAAAAATGTCCTTATCACGTTACAAAATATTATACTTCCTCCATTAACTTTTACAAAAGCCCTGCCTAATACTATTTGCGAGTGATTAATAAAGTTAAATCGAGCGGAAAACTTGTTAGTTAATAGTAGACGACATTATCCTCCCCTGGAGGAGTTTCCGCTATAATGGGATTATGTTATATGTGCATCTAAATATATAAATACCTTGAAGATTTCGAAAAGAATATGATAGAGATGGGAAGGAACGTAGACCACGTCTATGGGAGCATTTGGTTCTTTAACTTTTATAATAAAAAATTTTAAAATTGCATTTGTAGTTTTTTTTTTAATTTCTTGTTGGATAAAATTTTGCTAAGAATTAATAATTAACATGAATCATATTATTTTCCGTTTACTAAAACCTGTGTATTCCTTTCGGGATCTATATAATAGGAATAACATTTCTGAGGAGGATTAAAATGATTTTAAAATTTTATTAAAAAAAATAAAATAAAAATTTATAGAATTTTTTTTAAAAAAAACGTTTCTAAGTGAAATGAAAATCATCCGCTTTTAGACTGTCCAAGGCTTATTTATACTTGTGGTAGGCCATCATGTATTTAAGATACAATTGTCCTAAATGCAAATAAAAAAAGGGGAAAAGAAATTTGTATAATACTATTTTGGCTAGTGATTTCAACGTTGGGTGATGCCATATAATAATTATCGCACACGAACCTTGCGTTCTCGAATGCGTCTGCAATAACAAGTAAAATAAATAAATATTTTATTTTCCTCTTTCTTTCTGTTCTCTTTTAAAAAATCATTTTAAAATATACATTCGGGAGAATGTGTTTGGTTAATGTTAGTTTATATTCGTTTCGCCCCTTATCAGTGGGAAAAAATGTTATGAATCAAGATAGAGAGCGAAATCTTAAACTATCGAACGCCATTTTTTGTATTTATAAACCCATTAGAATATTCTGATTTATTTTCTTAGACGTTTCCCGTTATTTTATTTTGAGCGAGTTATATGGCACTTCCAAATTAAGCCTTACATTTTGAGTAACAGATGAAAGACGAGTTTATTATTTTAAAATCAGGGTAGAATTCCGACCTCTGAATTCCGCATCGCGTAGTATTTTTTTTTTAATTTTCGAAAATGTTTTTAAACTTTTTAAAAGTAAATAATTTTTTAAACGAAAATTCGTAATTTTTGTCGTAGCCAAAATGGTTAATTTGGCAATACACAGTGTTAATTTTTTTTAAAAAAAAATTAATTAAGAAAACACGTTTTAAGAATAAAATTTTATTTTTTGCAAAAAAATGTATTTCTCTTGGTAAAATGTATCGTCAATGTCATAAATTCTATCAATCAAATTTATGTATATTTTTTGTTATTTAAAATATCTCTAATGCGTAAATTTAGATTCATAATATAAATTATCCTCGTTTCAACCATAATTTTTATTTTACATTTATTTAAAGTTAAATAAATTCTTTCATCTAATAAGTAGCTTCGAGGAGATTCGTCTCCTTCCGCTATCCTAAAAGCCCGAATATCATCAGCGCTCATGGTCATAATATACCGAGAGGACTTATAATTATAAAATTTGTATGAGTATGGCATAGCTTATTTTATTAATAAATATACCTAAACCGCCTTATAGGAATCTCAATAGATAATAGCGTATATTATTTTTAGTCATTCCAGATCAACTGGGTTTATTTAGCAGAAATAGATTAAGTGGGGGGAGGGGGATCTATTCATTTAACTTTGTGATTACGTGGTTAAATCTGTCGCTCTTACTAATAACAAATAGATTATTATTTATATAAATAACAACTAAGAAATAAGATAGCATTTTAAGCAGTTGTATTTTTATTTAAATTACCTTGTACGACGGATTGAATATTGCAATGTGGGTCTATACATCCGACGTTCCTGGGATGGTCCGGGATTACGCCCCCAAACATCATAGCTTAATTATTATATGGGAAAAAAAATAAGATAATCTAGGACCACGTTCATAGTAAGCGCGAAATACGCATCGCTTGAGCGACATCGCGGTATTTGGCGCTTATTATAAACGAGACCTTAAGAAAATCATAAGTTGTGCAATGACATTTTGGGTTTAATTGTGTAAAAATTTGAATTAAAATTTTATGCAAACCTTTTTTATTAAATTCCGAGTTCTATTTATTTATAAAAAATTTTACATGGGTAATAAAAATGACGAGCCACCAGCTGATTTTTATTCAGCGAGGTTACCAGATTCATTTTAAATGAATGAATCGTCATTCTAGATAAGTATTATATGTCATCGGACGCGTGTATCTTGGAAGATTAGTAGCAATCGTCAATTACTATTCATTTAACCGGTGAGACATTAGTATATTGAGTTATCCGATAGCAATTTTGGGGAAAAACAATATTTACCTCTCCTTTTATCTTTCTTTTTTTTTCTTCCTTTATAAAGGTAAAAGGAAACCCATATAAATTACTTATAATATCGATTTATAAGTTTGGAAGCGCTTCTTTAAATATTTTACTCAAATTTGATTCACTAATCATGGCTCTTTTTTCTTATTTTTTTGTTTTATAAATTTTATAATTATATTCTTCCTAATCAGTAGCGTAAAAAGGACGCTTAAAGGGTGACCTCATATTTTTAATTTTTGTGGTTAGCAAAACTGATTAAAAAATTAATAAGTACTAACTAGGCACTAAATATTAACGAAAATTTGAGATTTTTGCTCTTTTATATTTTTCATTCTGGCATAATGTCAATTAAGGCAATTTTTCAATACCAAAAAAGGATTAAAATAATATAGAATTAAATTAAGCACTAAAAATGGATAAATTTTTCAGAGTATGCATAATTTTATTATTAAATATTGGCTACTAGTGTTGTTAAATGACTCAATTTGAGTCGACTTAAAAACGACTAACTCAATATTTCAGCCGGGAAAATATAGCCTAAGCCTCGAGATTTCTGTAATAGATGCCCATGCTTTTGTCTCATCAGTGAGCAAAATCTTCAGGCTTGCGTAATATTTTTACGGACAAAATATTAAGTTGGCCGTTTTTTTAAATCGGCTCAAATCGAACCATTTAACAACTCTACTGGCTACTATACTGGCAGCATTCATGGGCACTATTAAAACATGCTACATTTGCATATATTTTATTTGTGCCTCCAATTGTTCAGCCAATTTTAACGGAGATGATATAATGACATTAAATATTTAAACACAATGAAATAAAAATAACCAGAGAAAATTAAAATTATCTAATCAAACATATTTTTATAGGTGGGATCGGTCAAGGAAAAATAGGAGTGAAGCCCCAAAATAATTTTAGTAATTCCCCTCCCTTGGATTTGGCTGCGCCACTATTAGATATCATTTTTTTTTCTATCTCATACCATTTTATTTGTAATGCTTTTATATTTTATTCCATTCTCTGTTTCATACATTATATTCCATGCTCATATAATTTTATTCTATTCTATTACAAGTTTTTTAATTTTCGTGTTTATTATTTACCTTTCTCAAAAATATTTTAGAACGCCCCATTTTCTAAATAAGGTATGAAGCCAATTCTTAAAACAAAATTAAGAGAGAGAAATGCACTATAGAGCCCTTTGCATGGTTTTATTTTATCTTAAACTTTTTAATCTCATTTTTCCAATTTTCATCTTCTCTCTTTGGTTATCATTGCCTAATCTTCTATTTCTATCCAATCACTTATTTCCTGCCTGTCAAACTGATGAAATTTCTCTCTTTCTATCAAATCCCTCCCCATATGTTCAGCTACCTTTTATTGCTAAAAAAATTGATTTGCAAATATATATTTTGTTTACTGTGCTGAGTTATGAGCATCCTTATGCTGATACGGCTTAGGAAGAACCGATCCAGAAAATATTGTATATTTCCATCTATTTTGGCTGTCTCCCCATATGTTTCTTTCATTTCCGTTATGCCCTGGGCTATGGTTTCCACTACGTTCATATGTCTATTCCTCATCCGGAAAAGGGTCTCAACTAAGCTTAACGTATATAATAAATAATAATATCTCCATGGGTAATATTTTTTTTAGCGAAACATTTATAGCGAATTTTCTACCGCTAATGTATTTGCGCTAAGTCATTATCGCGATCGCATTACCGAAATAAATATATTGCTAATGCATTTATTTAAAGGAAAAAAAACCTATTCAATCAATATTAATTTACCCACAAAAGTTTCTTAAATCCTAAATGCGAAATGTTTTAAGGATTTTTTGTTACTTATTGTCTATAGCAAGCATGTACCTTTATCTGATGTGATAAAAACTGGTCTCTTCTCATTCATGGTTGTAAGCAGAAGGGGACATTTTGGTTCAGGTTTTTACCCCAATTAATTATCACCCCCCCCCCCCTCGTAATCAGCCTAAATTTTAAAATATGCTTCATGCCATTAAAAGTAAATTTTAACGAATATTCTGAAATGCTTAGAATTTTTTCCATTCAAGATAATATGAAAACTAAGAATTCAGATTATTTTTAAATTATAAACGACTTGTTTTTTAAATTTTCTCATATTATTTATATTAAACTTTCTGAATTCATTTTCTTTAGGGATTTTTCTAAATTGTTGTGTAAATAATAAAAAAGAGTCTGATTTTTAGAAAAAATTACTTCTCTAGAAAATTTTTGTTCTTTTATCATCGGAACCCAAAGACAAAACTTGAAATGTAAATTATATATATCGTCTAACATGATATATTTTAAAAATTTTCATGAAGATTTATACCATATTTTTTACATGCCTCCCATATTATTATTTTTACATAATGCACATCGATACAACTTTCTGATATAATAGTAACTCTAATTCATTTCAAGATTTTTGACATCCCCTGTTTTCTTTCCGTATTTCAGTAAATAGAAACTGCAAAGTTATAATTAATCAAAAAAAATTAAAATATTCTATTGGATAAGATTAATTAGTAATTGTTTAAGAAAGAGAGAATCATTTGATCTCCGGTTTATAATTGTTTAAGTTTTTTTGTTTTTAATTTTACATATTTCATTAATATAAACTCTTTCTCTATGTGATTCAAACTCCATGGTTGTCTAACTTTCTACCACTAAGATTATTTATTATACAACCTTCATTATAATCCACCTTACTTTGATTCTCATGGTTAGATGGTTCAAAATATATTAATGCTACTTGGTAATCTTTATTTTTGAAAAGTAGCTATATAAATGTTGTATAAATTAAGATTTATATTTTATAAATATTAGGGTTGAACGAAAATCCCCCCTTGTTTATAACCATGAGTGAGAAGAGACCAGAAAGAATGTGCATAATTTATTTTGTCATTTAAAACACTTCGCATTTAAGGAACTTTGATGGGTAAATTAATATGAATATGTTATTATAATTTAAATAAATGTACTCATAGCAATACATTTATTTAGTGCGATAAAAGTTTCACTAAAATTTATTCTCTAAAGTATTCGCTGTTTTTCGTGGAAATAAATTTTCGTTCCAAATGTTTCGCGAAAAAAATTGCAGAATTTCGCGATATTACATTCGCTATAAAATTCCCTCACGATAAAAGTTTCGCTGAATTGACCTGATACAAGATTGCCTGAGTCCCTTGTGCTATCTTAAAAAATAAGACAAGAAAATCAATTTGCATATAATATAAATAAAATATGTGGTGGCGATCAAATAACATAAACCTTTAAAATCAGCCTTATTTTTTTATTATAATCTCCTTGCCTTGTATAAGACTGCGAAAAATATAAATTTTACAAAAAAAAACAAATATTGAACTTTTTAAAGAGAGTAGTAAATATAAATATACCAAAATATGCATTGTTTATATTCAGATTAAAATTTTAAAATAAATAAAAAAAAATTATTTTTATTTACGCATCTTATGGGGGAGTGTCTAGTTCGTATCTGAACTTTTGTATTTAAATCTGTTAATAATTTAAAAATGATTTCACGGAATCAAGGATTGATAAATAATTTATTTTTTTCGCTTTTTTTTCTTTCTTTCTAATAATGTTTAAGAAAATTGAGTATTTTCTGCCAATCTATCTAAATTTTGTTTAACCGGCTCATCCAATGTTTTAAAATCATGTTATTTGTTAGTCTGGCTTTTTTTTTGATTTTATTTTAATGTACTTTTACTTTAAACTTATAAAGACATGCAAATAATTATGAAATAAAATATTTCAAATTCACGCGCCCACTTGTCTTAAAAATATTTTTAACCAGCCCGATCACCCGCCCGAATGTTTAAAGTTCTTAATTTTGCCAGGGGCTAAAACCCGCCTGTTGCAGACATCTAGTACGAGCTTTGCCCAAAGGGCCATTTTTACACGAATAAAATATTAATATTAATTATATGCAAATAAGCAAATATAAAGAAGGGGACAAGAGAACGTACCTTCTTGTTTATTTAGATTAGTAAAAGTTGTTTCTTTTTTAAAAAAAAAATTATAATAAAGTTTGATTTAAGTGTTATCGATCTCGTATACATTTTGCAATTTTATTTTTTTCATAAAAAAAAATTAATGAGCATCCCAAAATGGAGGCGGGGGGATTCAATATTCTTTCAAAGTAGATAGATAGAAATCTGTATTATTTCTGCCCAGCCCTATCTATGTTTGTCTCGCCCGGATTACAGAAAATGGATTTAAGGAAGGGAGTTCGAACCAGATTAATGTTAAATAATGTGATATTATAAATTATAGCCAATTTCGAATTGTACTAATTATAGCTAAGATCATCTTGGGTTTAGTTTAGGAGCAGTATAATATAAGGGGTAGGAGAGAGTTCTTTTCAAATATGGATATCAAATGGCAGTCATGATAAATGAGTTGAAAATTAAGGTTAAGATTATTTACTTGTTTAGTTAGGTATATATATTAGCTTATATTAACGCTTAAGTTTAGCAAATTACAGTTAGGTGCCCCTAAATATATATTATCCAGAGGTAGATATAGCTATTTGGTTGTTTGATCAATTTTTAAAAAAATTCGTTTGAGATTTAATGGGATCCCGGGTATCACTTTCTTATGAGAGGAACGGTAGGGTTGTAGGAAAATTTGTAGGCGAGTTTTGCTTGAAATTAATTTCTAAAAATTTGTATGCCATTATTGTGTTTTTTTAGCCTGACAAATATTTCGCCACTTTTTGCACTTGTGCTTATTTTTACTCCTAAATATTTTAATTTGATAGCTTTTTGTAATTTGCAAGAAGTTCTAATTTCAAAACAGCTTAGAAAACTAAATTAAATTTATAGTTTCCTATTGTGATTAACATTAAATAATTGGTATAGGAAATTATTTTCTGGTATTGGTAGAGGTTTAATAATTATTTTATTTAAAATTATGTTGAATAAGATTTGAGATATTAAACAATTTTGATTGACTCCTCTTATTATGTGGCAATTTTGATGTTTGGCTAATGAATAAATTATAAATGTGACATAAAGTTTTTGTGTTTGACATTATAGAAGGCCTTTTAGAAGTTATTGAAGGTATGATGGATAGTTTGTAGCAGTGCCATTTTTGTAATGTGTCTTTAGGGATTCTTGATTGGGTAATATGGATAAACTTTTTATTAAAATTTTGGCTTATTTTAAAACTCTTTTTAAATGTCATGAAGAGATTAGAAGTAATAGAAGTTTGTTATTCTGTAGTTTATGACGGGTGTTTTTTTAGGGAAACTGAATAGCATAAATAAATTCTTTTCTGTAAAAGTTGTAGCTAGAGCCCAAATTTTTAAAGATCAAACAACAATTATGTATTTAAGGATGCTTATATATAAGTGTTTGGCCTTATTCTATCTAAATATGGAACATTGTGATACCTTGGTTTATTAATAGAAGTATTGGTCATAAAGAAAGAAGATGACATATTCATTGTTCTGGAGGATCTGGACTCGAATATGGTGAATAATAATAACCATAAAGTTATTTGTTCTTTGATATTTCAAAATTTTTAGTATAATTTTAATGCTGGTGGGCTTTAAAAATACTAATAGTTTTATATTTTAATATTTTATAATTAACAATACAATATAAAATATTTGTCATGTTTTAATAATCTTTTATTAATACTAATTGATCATGATAATCAATTGGATATAATTAATATTTTTAATAATTTGGAAGAAAGGAAAAGAGGGGGATCAAAATATAATATTTAGAAATTTAGTTTATATAAAAACCAGATTCATAACTATCCTTGCAGGGTTCTAGTAAAAACTAAGTTTAGTAATCAAATAAATTTTAAATTAATTGTTAGAGCCCCTTCCCTAGAGCCAATGTTGAGATGTCCATGACTATCATATATAATAGACATTCTGTACATTGTCTAATTTTTTACTATAATTTCATTCATTTATTTTAGAAGGTTCTCAATTATTTAATTTATCTCTAGCTAAGAAATCAATTATATAGCCCATTTAGACAAGAAAAATATTTTTAATTAGATTTATATATGCTTTTAAAACAAAAAAAAAATATGAATTACCTAAACTTGATTGCCTATATTTTAAAACTTTTAATAGATCATTTGTATTGAGAATTTTTTTTTTGAAATGTATATGCAATATGAATTGTAAATAAAAATTTATTTCAAATATTTTTTGTTACTCATGTTTTATCTTTGCAGATGTTGGATGAACATTTTCAAATTTTAATATTTCAATAAAACTTTGTTTATACCTAAAATTATGAATATTAAAAGATCAATACTAATATAATACCAATTTTTGACAATTTGTATAGATGGCATTTTTAATAAATTTTCTGGCAGATAGTTAATTTCTCTCATCATATTTGCTAACCTAACAGGGATTTCTTTTTGTAAAAACATAAATGACATATGTTCACTGGGATTTGATTGGCCTTTATAGTTTAAATAAATTTAAATTAAGCTATAATTCTTACCAAAATCAACAAATTGTTTTATTGACAAAGCAGATGGCACAAATTGTGAATAATATTCTAGCATTTTTGTATAGCTCCTATACAAGCTTTTACTTAAAAATACCATCTTTCGCTATAAAACAATAAATTAGATTGCAACTTTAAAATATTTTAAGCATTTTTTAAATAAGTCTATAATTATATTATATCCATTTTTGCATGATGAATTTTTTAACTATGTGACCATTCCAAATTATTTTTAAAAATAGCATATGTTTCAGTGAATGAATAAACGGTTTTGTTCTCTTCTTACAAGAAATAGGCCAAAATGGTTATTAATTTATTTTCATCATAGATTTATATAAAATATTAAAATAAGAATTAAGCAATGCCAAATTGTAATTAATCAATTCTTTAATGTAGACAATTAAAGTAATAAATATTTTTTGATAAATTTTTTTTTTAAATTTAAAATTCTTTTTATATAATGTTTAAAATTATGAAAACTAACTATTTATAAAAATATATAAAATTACTAAATAAAAATAAATATATGTATTAGTATCAATGGCTCTAAAATGAGCTTAATTTAATAATGAAAATTTTCCTAAAAAACAAGTATAATTATGTTTACAAATTTCTAGTTGAAGTTTTTGTTTAAGAAATATGGATTCGCGGTTTTCGTTTATTATATTAAAATTTTCAGCAAATTATTTATTAAAATCAAAAATAAATAGATTTATATTTGCTGCCCACTTATATTCTTTTTCCTTTTTTAAATATTTGCAAGGATACCCAATTTATAGTACATAAACAAATAAGTGCTTCTTATATTTTTCTAAACAAATAGTTATTTTAATATAATTCTAGCTAGTGTGTTTACATATTATATATTCTTATTTTATTTTCATTATGTGTAATCAGAGAACTAAAGGGGCAATATAAAATTTGGCAATAAAATATAGATTAATTTCTCTTCCTTATAACCTGCTATCAGATTACAGATACTATCCTCTAAATAAACGAGTAAACCTCATATTTCTATTATAATAGTTAAAATAGATGATGCGTATTATAAATAGAATAATGATAGATCCAGATATCACATTAAAATAAGGTATTAGATAGTTATCCTCACCCAGTATTATATTAAATAATAAATATATATAAATATTTAACCATATTTAATTGACATATATATTAATCCATAATGTATAATATATTTAATATATTGTCACTTCATTAATTGAAAGGAAACCTACATCTCCTAGAGGTAACCACGATTTAAAGTTTCTCCCAAAAAAATTTGTCTTTGGTGTCCATTTAACTTAACTGTGTGGTGTTGCTTTCTTTTAACACCCACTCTTCTCCCACCAATTAAAATTTTGATCTCTCAAAAGAGTATAAATATTAGCTGCTTTGGTACGATTGATCTCGCCACCCTTGTAGATTGATATCACCTAGAGTAACAATATCGTACCCCTTGTTAAATGATCTCCCATTGGAGCATTGATATCGACGGGTCGCCCCTCTCCCAATATATCTATTTTATTGTTGATTAATCTCCCTATCAATATCGAAAGATTTCCCACCATAGTATTCCTATCGATTCTATTGTATGCTTGATCTCCCATGGTGTATCATTATCGATACCATTGTAAGCTTGACCAGAGGAATATCGTTATTGAGTTATTGTATGCTTAATCCCTACCGGAGTATCGTTATCGAGACCATTATATGCTTGATCTCCCATCGGAGTATTAATCTCGATGGATCTCCCGCCAAGGTTGCTATTGAGTCCTTGTAGATTGGTCGACATTGTGCTTGAACGGTCGTCACGGTTATCATAGAGCTAGCCAAGGGATAGCTATCACCCCTCGATGGCCCATGAGGTCACTTTTATCCAAGCTAGCCAAGAGATCGCTATCATCCTTGGATAGTCCATGAGATAATCTATCCCTATAACCCCAATACGGCAGCATCTGTCTCGCAAAAGCCCCATTACTTTTGTCAAGGTCACGTGATTTAAGAGTTCAATGTCCCTATATCTTTATGTTATAGTTCAATATTCTTAATCTAAAAACTCAATCTCCATGTAATTATCACTTTATCATTAATAATCCCATGTTTTACTTAAAGGTAAAATTATAGTAAAGAAATGGCATAAGAAGTTTTAAATATTTGGTTCGTTAATATTTATTGCTTTATTAATTAATTCTTCAATTAATTTCACCAAATATAAAGAAGAAACTATAAGCAGGGACCCGAACCGTTGGTTCAGTTTGGTTACGATTCAGTATGTAAAAAATTATAATGGTTACGTTTTGGTTACGGTACTTAAGTAGAAATTTATAAAGGTTAGGTTCGGTGCAGTTAATTTTAAAGGATTATAAAGGTTCATTACGGTTAGAAATTTTTTTTTATTGAGGCAACACCATCTTCTAATTTATTTTTATTATAAGCATCTATGAATTTTATATAAAAAAAGTATATAAGATTCAAAATAACTAATTTTTAAATATATTATTTGAACGTATAAGTAATATATTTTCTAATATAAATGGATTCCTTTTTGTTCGTTGGGACGATAACACAAATTTTAGCCCCGAAAAAGCCCATTCTACAAAAACTTGTGTTTCTGAAACCGCCAGTACTATAAGAGCTTTATATAATTCTGGATATTCAAATTATTTCCATTTCTATATAAAAACTGAACCGGTTTGAACCGGTTTAACAGTTTTTATAAAGGATCTTTTAACTCCTTCAGAAAATAATTATATCGGTTCGGTTACGTTTCAGACATTTATAACGGTTTATAGTGGTTTAACGGTTCGTTACGGCTCACTCAGGGTCCCTGCCTATAAGTCAAATAAAATATATCACGCCTTACGGGTGAAGTGAACCGAACTTCTGGGAATATTAACTCGGAATTTTATATAATTAATTAGTGCTTATTTTAAAATTTTAGTTCTTTAACCTGTTTGGTAGGATAGAAAACGCATTATTGACAAAATAAAAGAAAATTGGAATCATACAAAATTGATAGATGCGATTAATATCTGAGTAAGCCAATATAATACCTTATTAATTCCAAATACATCAATCAGTTTTTCCAGTCAATATACAGAAACTATATAAGAGAAATAACTGTAAAGGCACATCTTAGACTTAGCCTTATATATCGGATTTGAGATTGCGATTCAAAAATCAATTACATCTCAATACATTAATGGTTTTTTTACCCCGATTCAAAATATTTTAGAATATTATGATTCGACAACCTTTATAGATATCATTTATTTTTTTCGATTTATTTAGAATATATTTTGAATCGAGTTATACTTTCTAAAGTTTGATATGAATCTGTGTCTCATATTAAGATGCAGTCTTTCCTATACATAAAGTATACCAACCTCTAAAGCACTAGTACCTAAAACTTAGGCCCTTGTGTAATTCTATACATTTTAGTTTATTGATTAAATTCGTTTGGTAAAAAATAATATAAAAGTTATTAGCAAAATAAGAAAATTTTAAAATTATCAGACTATAAATATAAATAGACAATTCAAAATATTGATCACATGTCATTATAGAGAAAATTCTCATTTGATATAAATAAAAATTAAATATAAAAGATTATTTGATTTGATTTTTGCCTTTGAATAAGTTTTATAATTATATCGATATGGTAGAATAATCTTTAGCTTAATTATTTCTTAAATTCAGACCTTGACAGCTTGGCGGTTATATTTAATATATTTTTTCAGGCAAATCAAGTAATTTGAAAAATAAATGTGAGGAGATTATCATTTTTATGTAATTTTAAATCACAGGGATGGGTTATCTAATCTTATCTATGATTCGAAACAATTTCGCTTTGCTGAATATAATGTTCCCTACATTTTTTTGTTGCCAAAAGATTTCGAACCTTATCATTTTGTAGAGATCATATTTTTTTTAGCTAGTAAGTGAGATAAAATGAAATCATTGGCTAACTTGGCTTTATCACGCCTCGGTCTTTCTTTATAAATCGATCTTAATAATATTAAATAAACCTGGTGCGATAGTGTCATTAAAGAGCTTGATTTAAGTCGATTTCTAACCATCTCAATATTTGATCCAGAAAAATACAACATGCCTGAAGATTTTGCTCATAGAAGGCTTTGGCTATATTTTTCTGGCTTAAATCGAGCCAATAAACAATACTATAATGCGAGGATTGTACCATTGTCATTTTTAACTAAATTTGAGGCAAAATTACTTAAATATTGGGAATTGTTTTATTTAATTTTAAAGTATATTTTGTAGGCGATATAGAGAATAGAAAACCTGCAGGAGAATAGGGCCAGCCAGAGCTCTAAAATTAAGAATTGTAGCTGCATAAATGTGACCAACCCAGAATTTGTATATTTCAAAAAAAAAATTATCATCTTATTAATTGCGAAATATTTTAATTAAATAATATATTTAAAAATTCTTTTAGATTATTCGGTTGACAAAATTTACTTTTATCAGAACACATAACAGGACGAAATGGGGAAAATAATAATATCAAAAGAATTAGTCATTAGTGCCGATTTATATAATTTTCGTTTCTAAATTATAAATAAATTATCCAAATCTAAAAAAAAGATTTTTTCTCGGCATATCCCTTTTATGATCTTCGTATACATTTAATGTGATTTTCAACGTTTGTTGTTCAATGTTGGAGTCTATGTCTCTTCGAGCAATATTTTTAGTTTCTTTGTGATTACATAATACCTGTATAAAAAAATTCAAATATCAAGGATCAAAGATATAAAAATAAGCAGTCAGCAACCAAGGGGAGGAAAGGGGGAAATCTGTCACCCCTTTATAAATCATAAATATCATTTTAAGCTAATCAAAAAAATTCCCCAACCCCCCCCCCCCCCATTCTCTTCTCTCCCCTAAAAAGGTATACAATATATAATTAAAATGAAGAATTTGAAAGAAAAATTAGTAAAAGTTAATAACTTTTTAAAATAACGACTTATAATTCAAAATTTTTGGGGAAAAAGCTTCAATAAAAAAAAAGTGAAAACCCAAAATTATTTTTATAAAAATCTAGTATAGCCAAATTCCTATAATAAAATGACCTTAAGATCTCCAATAAAATTTATAGTGAAAAAATTCACCCAATAATGCCCCCTCTC